AGAGTGATCTCAGAGTTTGGATCTTTATCAGACCAGTCAGACAAACTGTCTGTGAATGGAGATGATTCAGTTCTGTGGCTGCTCTCCCTAGAAGTGGACGTGCAGCTAAGATGACTCCAAAAAAAAAAAAGGAAAGAAGCTCAGAGTCACAGCTAAAGGCTTAAAGGAATCATCGAAGCTGGTTAACATCTCTGTTGGTGAGTCAAACATACAGACATCACAGAGCACGTTGTTCACCACAGCTGAAGCTGCTGTTCTCCAAAAAAGGAAAAATAAAAATCCCTGAAGTCCCTGAAGTTCAGGCCAAAAAGCACCTTGACACTCCACACCACAACTAAGAAAATGTTCTGTGGACTGATGAAACTGAGGCTGACTTGTTTACATACCAACATGATGTCAGGGTGTCCATCACCTGCTGAAGCTCGGTAGAAACTGTGTGATGCATCAGAGCAATGGCCAAAAACTTCAAAGTAAAGCTACGACAGATGAAGAAAATCCACCTTCTGCAGTGGCCCAGTCCGAGCACAGACCTCAGTCCAGTAGAGACGCTGTGGACTGAGCTGAAGAGAAACCGCTCACACAGACATCCTGAGAATCCGTCTGAGCTGAAGCAGCTCTATAATGAACAACGGCCCAAACTTCCTGAAAAGTGTGCAGCTCTGATCAGCAGCTACTGGAAGAGCTGGTTTCAGGTTATTGGAGCTAAAGGAGGTTCGACCAGTTATTAACTTACTTTTTCCACCAGCACTGTGAATGTTCAATGGGTGTGTTCAATAAGGATAAAGGCAGAAAAGATTATAATTGTTGTGTTTGTCTTTAGTTGTGACTTAGATGAAGATCAGATTTTATCATTAATCAATGCAGAAAACCAGATAAGTCCAGAGGATTCACATTGTTTTTCTTGCCACTGTCATTAACATTCAGTAAAAGTTCTGATTTGCATCCACCTGCTCAAAAACTCATCGTGAGAACACTGTGGTTGGACTTGGTGAGCAACTAGGTTTTAACGTTATTATGAAGGCAACATTGGATCACACACATATAAACTTAAATCCTTTCACATGGTCTACAGACAAACCTTCACTCACCCCTGACCAATCTTTTCATATCGTGTGTACTTCTTCTTGGGATCTCCGATGCTGACGATGGTTCCTGTGAACCACAAACAATCACACAGGGAGTTATGAGGAAACAGCACATGAATGTGACAGAAATGAATGTATCGTTTAGTCAATGGTTTTATAAGATGAATGAGTTTTACTCAGTTTGTCCATGATCTCCTCGTCAGACATCTTTCCCTTCTTCTTCTGTCTGTCTGCAGCTTTGGAGGCAACATCTCCGTCTGGACAGGTGCTTGGAGCAGGGATGGGGTCGATGACAGAGCGAGTATACACCTGTGCAACACACCAAAACAATAAGACGTAAGTCAGTATGAAGCTCGGCTGATCATTTTACAATGAATCCCAAACATAATTATTATGATGTCAACGTGAAAGGTCACTTACACTCTTTGTGTGTTCTGGTCGTGGTGCCACAATGGGAGGAGGAGCTTCATCATCGTCATCGTCATCAATGTCTTTGATATTTGGAGATGAGGGTTCGGTGCCTTTTTTAACAGGCTAATTCAGAATAGAGGAAAAGTTAGTACAATGTTAAGACAAAACATAGTACGAATAAAACTTTTTTAAAAAGTCTTGAAATACTTACAGACTGAGGTCCTGGAGTGAATGCATCTTTTTCTGTGAATGAAAAAAAAGAGGAAGAGTTTTTAAAAAAAAAAAAGAAGTGTATACCTACATCTAGTCACAGAGTAAAGCAGGTGTTCATAAAGGGCTGCATTTCAGGGCTAACACATGTCTGTATTGACAACTGTATTGTCCTGTCACTGTAATACATGAGGTAATATTGATCAAATTCCTCCCGACAAAAGGGGAAATTAATTTTAGGCAATAATTAACTTATATTTGCAAAAATGGTGGAGTTTTCCATTTTTAATGGCACAACCTCGCAACTCTGAATTTAACAAATTAACATCAATTCATAATACAACGTACGTAACAATGCAGAACTTAAATCCACTGTCCAACTCACCAGAAGATGAGAAGCTGAGGTACTTCTGACGACCGTTGCCCGTAGAGTCGTAGAACTTAAGAACGTCAAGCACGGCCTGTGGGTTTTTCTTCTGCTCTGACTTGGTGATGTTTGAGGTCTGGAGTAGTCGAGCCCATTGCTCTGGCATACCCTGTGTATGACAGATATTTAACAAAATGGTGCAGGGCAAGATGTGATGTAAATGTGTCTACAGTCAAGTGTCAAAAAGCAGGAAACTACATATGTGAGAACTCACAGTGAACTCCCCCGTGACAGCATCAAACCCAACGTGTATGGTGTGTTCGAAATCTGAAGGTGGTGAGATCTCTGGTCGCTCTTTGTCTTTGTCTTTCTTTCTGCCACCTGAAATTACACGACAACATTTAGACTGATAACAACTTCAAAGTCAAATATTTTTCTCTTTGTGGTGCCAGAATCTTCATCTCACCCTTTTCAGCCCCAGAGAAGATTGAGATGATCTTGTTGCGAGGTTTCCTCTCTTCAGGCACAGAAGGCAGCGGCTTGGAGCTGTGGTTGGCTGAGAGTGAGTCTTTTCCAGAGCTGGTGCTGAAGATGGTGCTGCTCATTCTGACTGGAGGGGCAGGGGGTTTATCCTCAGGGTCTCCGTTATCACACATTGCCTATAATGTTTTTTGTGAGTCACTCACGGGGCTGACAGGGATCAGGGGAACACAGCGGGCGAGGATGGACAGGGTGGAAAACAGAGAGGGAGCGAGGCAGCGCTCACATCAGCATGAGGCACAGGTGCGCTCATGCACTACAGGAGGATGATGGCACCAGAGGAGACAGGAAGCACTAGGTCGTACCTGGAAGAAAACCAGACATTCATTAGACCATAAACATAATGTAAATAGGTCACAAACAGAGCAGGGTGATGGATAATTACCAACTACTAGCGATTAAAATTGAAAAATGTGTCCAAGAGGGTGACTGGACTGAAGCATAGTGGAAATGCCTGTACCAACAAACACATTAGGTTAATATCTAACTAACGGTGGGGGCGAGAGCAGAGACTAAAACGTTTAAAGTTGACAGAGATAAACAACGTTGTCCCCTCTGAGACTCCTGTATTAGTCTGAGAAGTGCTGACAGCATTTTTAAGCTACGTACTTTCTTTTGTGGTGTCTGGAGGAGACTAACAGAGGAGCCCAGATGAGATAAAAGAATAATGCAAGTTGCTTTTCCACCCGGTGCACTTCATACACATATGAAAAGCTGACACTTCGTAGCTTCTTGCTAAAATAAAATATGTCCACATATCGACTTTTAGCCCATTATTTCCCCCATATAACGGTTTTTCTCCCCTAATGCCTGCTCAAAAGTGCCCTTCAAATGTGTAACAACCGGGGCGGCTAGCAAGCTAACGCTAGCATCGACTACTTGGCCAACAAGTGTGCTAGCTATACGCTACCGTTAGCATGGTAAGCTATACTTAGCGTTTGCAATCCTAACAGATGAGCGCTAAGCGTTCAGCTAACGCTAACTAGCCTGACGACCAAAGTTATGGGTTTCCCCTTAAGAAAATAACATCGCCAAGATTGCGACTCAGACAACACCAGAGAGGCAGTGAAGTAGCAAACCAGCCGGTGCAGATGTGCTTTAATTTCAGGCTAACGAAGGCGACGCAGGAGCAGCGGAGCTCACCGGAGATTCCACACCAGTTAAACTTGAATAGAACTTGACTCCCGGACGATCCTCGACGGTCTCAAAAAACGTCTGTAAATCCCGTTAAAAGTAGTTCTCCTGTAACATGGGGCCTTGATGGTGCACGCCGCGTACAAATAACTTTACAAAAAAACAAAAAATGTGACTACAACTATTTACAATTCAACTTTTCTTCTATCTTTTCAGCCCTTGGATAATTCCGCTATGGCGAAGGGGAAGCGGAACTACCGACCCAGCCCTTGACTATTCAGTAACTGTTTCAAATGAATGGTGTGTGAAGTTTGACTGAGTCCAGAAATTACAGCCCGTGTGTAAAACTGCTCTGTTAATAATTAAAGCTGTAATAACTCTACACGTGAGAAACATGCTGAAACTAAATCAGAAATTAAATTAAGTCGAAAAGCATTTTAGGTAATGTAGTTCAACATTTAAAAGTCTGTCAAGAAGATGCTGATAAGTATACACTTTTTTTTTTAATATACACGTTTTAATTCAGTTATGGTCCATCAACACTGTGTTTTTTTTTCTGGTGAAAGATTTTGAATCATGATACACACTTATTGCATAAATAAAAACAATACTGTGGCAGATTTCTCTGTTATCTCTGAAATAGAGATTGAAATAGAACCAGCTCAGAGTCTGATGTCTTATCACCCAGATCAATGTGATAACAAGTTAACGTGGTTTGCCTTGCCCATATATGGTATAGATACTTGTATCTGTCTATAACTGTCTATATATGAATATGAAGCTCTATATTTAATTATGTAGATCTAAATGTCACTCATAATATATATTTTCCATTTCAGAAGCTTAAATTAAAGAATTTTATAAGAAAAGTATTTTATAACTAACCTGAATATGCACTACAGTATTATGACACTGCAATTATAACTGACCAATCTGACCTTTGTTGATAAAAAAAGAGGTAGAAAAAATTCAACAAACAAACTTTATTGTCAACACACAGCAAGTTCACAAAGAGCACGCAAAACAGAGAAAGTTGAGAAAGATCTTTGCTTTTTATCATTTGGAGTTCAAAATATTGTTTGCAGTTGAGATAAAGAGCTTCCTATGAACATGACTTGTGGCCACACCACATTCTTGAGATAAGTGTTTCAAAGTGAATAAATAAACAAATGTCATCTTCCATTATGCCCTGAGCTGTGTTCCTCTTTGTGAGCCAAGATTACAATAGGAGGAAATCTCTGTTAAATAACATGTTAAATACTTACTGTAACTGAGGCCTGTTTCAAAAAGCAGGTTAATTATCTGGATAAATTTACAGTCACACCTGGAACCTCGTTGTGTCACCTCAGAAGATAAGATGTTCAATGCATTTCTCATTTTAAATTATTCTTATACACCTGACTTTTTCTATCTATGTCTATTAATGTGTGATTTTATTTTTTATGTTCTTTTGATAGTGTATCTTAAAATCCTTGGATCATAATGATACCAGAATGATCCTTGTATCAGACAAAACTGTACAAATATAAGATCATGAATTGTTTAGATCAAGGTTTGCTGACCATCATGAAATAATCTGATGTTTCCACATGTACTTGGACAGTGCCACACAGCAGATCATTGTCACCAGAAGAGTTCCACTGCATACAGGTATCACCAAAGACCCATCACCGACTGGGAACTGTAAACTCATGGGGCCATGCTCCTACAAGATACAGGATAATTTTGGTTGAAAAAAAGGAAAATGAACAACAGATAATTAGTGTGATAAAACAAACGTTTAATAAATTTCCACTGAAGATTTTGAGAGCTTTACTGAGAGCCACCTGCTGATGCTGGATTTTAACCCATGGACATGTGCTTGAGTTGTGGACCGTGCAGGGGGCATCCACGACAGTGTGAGGCTCTAAGTTGTTGAGCTGCGTACCTAGAAAAAAAAAGACTTTTAGATTAAAGGCATACACTTTGTCATTTTCTGTTTCCATTAGCTACATTTTCTTTGCTGTGTTTCCAACAACCAACGTGAAGACTTTATTAGTCAAGTTATGGATATATTCACATATTCAGTCACCTGATAAATACATGTAAAAAGCTGTTTAAGTAAATCCTGATCAGAAGAATCAAAAGGTCTTCTAGCTTCACAGTCATGTTATCAGAATCTGACTCCATACTTCTGCATCAATCATTGCTGATGCAAGCATCCCAGTACATTGTGAAGGAGCCAAAATACTGGTTTCCCAGCTGGACACTAAAGAGTTATAAGATAAAAGATTTTGGTCGCTTCTTTCTGAAAAGAGGGACACACATGACCACAGTATAAAGATGACCCGCTTACATTTTTCAGTCCGCAGCAGCAGCTCTGGAGGTTGTATGTCAACAGATGTACATGTTTTCCCAACAGAAGAAGGCTCATGGTAGCGGCCATGTATTGGAATTGTTACTTTTAGCCGCCTGGGGCTTGGATCATCATGGTTGGGATACACATAGGTGACAAATCCTGAAGTCTTATGAGCAGGCACCTCTAGGTCAATGGCTGAATCTAGTAATATCTAACAAAGACAAATGTATAAATTATCAAATACATATATAGTGAAAGTGATCAGTGATATTCATTTAAACAAATAGACTTTGTTATGTTTTTCTTTTCCACTGCATGGTAATAATCAAAGATAACAAGATTTGTACACATCAGTGTCACCTGCCAATCACTTTGATCTCTCAGGGATGCAAGTTGGTATGGATCAATGTAGACACCTCTGGGCCATTGATGAACCAGCAAAACTCTGACACCACTGAGCACATCAGGGCTGAGGTCAACAGTGGTTATCAGTTCCCTAAAACGTGACAAAAATCACTCACACATTTCACTCACAATAAACTTTGAAGATTGTTCTGTCAGCTGTAAAACTACTCAACCGATACCTGTGGAAACCCTTTTTACTGATCTCCACTGACACTGACGTGGATTCAAGCCACTGCTTCAGGAGATCACAATGATTCTCAGTCTTCTCATCTGTAAAAATGTGCAGGATGCATCGATCAAGACCACAAGAATAGACGGAGCAGACGACGGTTATTAAAACTGTAATAATGTATTTATGACTGACTTAAGAGCATTGAATAATACAAGGCAACAGGAAAAGTAGGTTCATAGGAAGCAGCCAGCTACAAAAACTAAAATCAAAACATAAAATACCAAGATGTTAGGGTTTTGAAGACGGAAATTAATGTTGAATATCCAACTAGTCATTACTGGAAGACCAAACAGGGAATAAATGAGTTTTGACTAAACAGCAAAACCATAATGTTTCATCCAAGATACTGTAATATCCTCAAATTGAAACTTAATCCTAAATGTCATTTTGTCCTTCTTTCTTTATGCATAGAAAGGGAAGAGACTGATTTCCCCTCATCAGTGTGTTTACTCTAACCGGACAGAAACTAATCAGTGACTATCGATTTTAACCAGGAAGTGTAACAATATACCTTACCCTCTTGGATTAAACAATGACATGTTGCTAAGCAGGTCGATACAGTGAGCAATATTAAATACATCAATATGATAAAGTCGAGCTTTAATCTCTTTACAGTCTATTTATAGCATTTAGCTAGCTACAACTACTGATAGCAGCTACGATACACTCTTTTGAATTGTTTACGGAAAAGGAATCTGAAGGACCCCTGTTCTAGGGAAGCCGCGGTCGTGCCTGACTAGAAATAGAAAAAAAAACAATCTGTGGAAATGCTTTAAGGCAATCATTAAACATAAAATGTGCCGATCAAACAATTGGAAGTTAATAATAACGGTCACTGTAAGTGAAACAATAGTGTATAAAATATTTACTGTAAATGTAGGCAGGCTTCATTGAAGACTGAAAGGTTTAACGTTCAACACTCAGACGGAGGTTGATCATTTCTGAAGCCGCTAATTTTAGACAGTTTCTTTTTTCAAATTAAAGTGTTAAATGTTCATATGAACTATTGATTATTATCATGAATGAAAAGGTTTAACCCCCCCCCCCAGCTGAAACCAGGTCTGCTGGAGACAAAAAGAGAAGATGCTTTTCGAGGCAAAGCGATGTGGAGTGCAGTTTTCCCCTCCGTCCATAGTTTTAATTTATCAACACGCCGAAACCAAGAAGGTGCGAAAAAGAATCATACCTGTGCGGAACTTCTCAAAGTATTCTGGTAAGAAAAAAGATGATTGTTTTGTTTTTTTTATACACATAACACGACCTAAACCACAGCAATCTCCCAGCCCCATGTAATAAGTCAGGACATATCAGAATAGAGGTAGACATGGATGTGGGTGCCAATGCCCTCTGACACAGTTATTGTTTATTATCTCGCTATATCACCACATTTAGTTCAGTTTAGATGCTCGGTGAAAAAGAGCCACAGGCGCAGTGGACGAGTACTACTGAGCTCAAGACCCCAGCGACCCTCAAGACCCCAGATTTACTCTTTGCCAGTTACTCTGGTGACCTGAATTACTGCAATTTAGTGGGAATATGCACCAATGAGACCACATGAAAATTATGAGGATAAGACTCTAAGGAGGCCCCTTCATTTTTTGAATCTTATCCTGAGGCCTGTAATCATAATTTTTATTCTTTGAGTTGATATTGTGCTACATGCTGCCGGTACATGATGCATACTCCCAAATACAATTCTGCCTGATCAAGTTATAACAAACTAACTGGGCAGGAAGACTTCCAGTGCAAAAGTACTTGGTTCCTATCACTTTGGAGGACATTGTACAGGAAGCTGTGCGGCAACAGAATCAGCAGAATATGTACATAATGCTATAATCTATTTCTTTCTTCTCCTAACCTCCAGACTACAGCATGGCAGCTGAAAGGCTGAAGAACAATCCTCGACACAGGGACTACTTGGAGGGTGTTTCTCAGAGCCAGCTAGAGAAGCTTCACATCATCCTGCGAGATCACATGCAGGGTTTCAGCCTGGAGCACAGTCTGGCCTCCTTCCACGTGGACCCTGATGAAGACCTGAACAAACTGGACGATGAGGAGCTGGCTCGCAAAAAGGGCCAAATGGATGAAGTGTTTGAGAAGAACCGCAGGCTCAAAGACGATCCAGACTTTGTTTATGACCTGGAAGTGGACTTCAGCAAGCCCACACAGGAAAAGTGCAGCTGGGATGATGAGTCTGATGATGAATTTTAACTAACTGTTCTCCAGTCCTTTCCAAAACTTGCTTCTTCTAGTTACAGTTTGTTTTGTTCAATCCCAAAACAATGGAATTTAACAGACGGCACTCAAACATTCCCAAACAGGACAGACTCTCCAGAATCACTGTTTCTGTTTTTCTGAATTATCCACACACCTTGCTATAATAGTTTTCATTGAGAAGTAGTTTAAACAGTTTTTGTTCTTCGTTGGAAAATAACAGTTCTCAGTGAAATCCGAAGTCTGTGGACTGTAAAAGTATCTGGAATGTTGTTGTGGAAAAAAATGTTCGTGTTCAAATTCTCCATGTGTAATGTGATCATGCTTTGAGTGCTGCAAGTCAAATACCATTTATTTTAATAATATTGGGTAGATGATGATAGTTTCACCACTAAGTAAAACTATGTTCCATTTCATACTGCAATGAAAGAAAAGAATGAAATAATTCATGATTAATAGTGAATATTTATTTGGTATAAAATACTGAATTTTACAAAATACAAAGACTTTGGCTCTTTTATTTGTGGCTTACACCTAAATGAGTGACATTCACAGTTGAATATGAAAGAAAGAAGATGCTAAAATCCTATTAAATAAAATTTGAGTGTTCACCAATAAGTAAGCAATACAACAAATATATCTTTGGAAAAAAAACTGTGTCCACAAAATATTATTTCATATCATACAAAATATATATATATTTCCATATATGGTTTGAAGCAATGTACTATGGCCAAGTTTTAGATGAGATAAACTATATTATAAAACCAAGCCTGCAGTATCAAAGCTCTTCAGGGGAAAATTTCATTCAAAGTGCTTAAATACCTCATTCAGTTGACAAGAGACACTGACTGACTGACTGACCATTAGTACCACAATACATTCAAAGATGTCGCAGGTTTTTTTGAAAATCAGTAAAGAATTAATTTACATTGCTTGTTTGGTTTAAGCTAATCAAAACACATTTTTTTTTACATTGGTATCAATTGCAGTCATTTATGCAGTGCTGATGTGTTAAGGAGGTAGTAACAGAAAATCTGACACATAATTCCTTTTACCACCATTATTTGGGTGGATTTACGTGATTAAAACTGTTTTCTCAGCAGGCTGTTAATTTGTTTAAAAAATAGTTCTTTATAAAATTGATATTTCAAGTATACTAAAGCCACAATCCAAGATTTCTGAGTACGTTAGTTATGACAATATACACAAATATATGACTTGAGGAGAAGGACTCTCTGATTGGCAATCATTTGTGCAATTTAAACTACACTACGCAGGCAAATTTACACAAATAGCATATAGGTGGATTAATTATTTGAAAGCTAATGGAAAAAAAGAGTGATCTTAAAATCCAATAGCACAAACAAAGGAAAGGCAGTAGAGGGGAGGATGATGTCGCCACAAGTGTAGCTACACTCCAAATCCGGATTAGGCCTTTGAAGAGAAGCTGTATGACCCACACTTTCTATGGAGAGTGATAGGAACTGAAATACATATATGTTACACCATTAAACTACACCAAAAGTACGTACATTATCAGTTAAGTATTTCTGAAAAATAAATCTCATTTCTTCTTCCTGTCTTGGACGCATCTTGGACAAAACCTGGGAGATTTGAGAGAGGGGAGGGAAAGAGGTGTTAGGACACAGAGGACAATCAGGAGTCATCTGTATTAAAATGATGAGCAATGCATTTCCATATCTTTGTATGAACAACTCTAGTTTAACATCATTTGAATACTTAAAAAAGGGTTCCTACCATTTTCCTTTGGGTTTTGTGGCGAGATCAACACAAGCAAAGTGAAACCACTCGATCGGACACTGAAAACACAGATGAAAAACAGCGTCAGTGTTTTGAATCTTCCGCAAAAATAGGCGATGAAAGAGGTTCTGATAATTAAGAAACACGCCAGATTTAATTAAAAAAAACAAAACATGTAAGCCTACATCTGGGTTATCACATCCGATCATCTCCCCATACGACACCTGATGGCACAGGCAGTACGTAGGCTCATTGGGATCGACTGGCATGTCTAAAACGTCCGACGGCTGCATGGGCAGGAGAGCGTCACTCAAGTCTGGACTGGAAGACAGACACAATACACAGAGCTTGATTAGAATTAAACATGACTAAACTAAGCTTAAAATTAGTGAATCTCTGGCAGCCTGAACTAACACGGGGTGTTTCAGGTCTAATAAAAAGTGTGGTTCAGATTCTGGAAGCTGATATGTAGTAAACCCTGGCCTGACTGAGCCACCAGCATGTTACCTGTTTTTCATCTTTTTCTTTCTGGGAGAATCTTCATCAGAACCTTTCCTTCCTCTTCCCCTGGATCCACGTTTCTCTCTCAGCCCCCGCGAATCACCTTCTGTGAAAAAATATTTATATTTACAGATGTGCATACATCTGTTTTGCAATGTCTTATTATGAACACCTTTCAATCACCCAACTTACTTTTCAGTGCTCTTCCGTCTGTACTTTCATAGCCGCTCACTTCCAGTTTCTCCTTCAGCTCATTCTCGAACCGCGCCAGATCTGCATCCAGTCTGCGGATGTGTTTGTCCACCTATGAAAAAAGGATTTCATGTAGATTAGAACCTGACTGGGACTGGTTTCATTTGCAAATTACAAAAATACTTTACAAAAACTGTTCAACACATTCTGTGTCACTTAAAATTCACAGTGTAACTCAAAAGATTTATATTTAACATATTGATCATATAAAACTTTGTGACCAGATGTGTGTTTCAGACTGACCATTTCATATGTCTGCATTGCAAGCTGGACTTTGTCGTCGCTGAACTCTTTGCACTTGCTGTAGGCGTTTTGGATCTTCTGCAGATGTTCCACTCTCTGTTCTGACGCCAAGTTCTTCACATTCGCTATGTACTCCTCAGCCAGTTTGTCAATCTCTCCTTTCTTTTCTGCACAACAACATGATTATGATAGTGTTGGGGAAACAAAATTGATTGATATTGATTAAAAAAAAAAAAAAAAAGGTGCAACAAAAGAATGCTATAATTAAAGACCCTGCAAAACCAACATCTGTACAGATGTTTTCAGTTATTGTAGCAGTGTAATTGTGTGTAATTAATAGCTGTTTAGGTGTGCCAGTTCCAGGATCCTGGTAGTGTACATTGTGACTCACTGGCCTGGTTTATTTGGGCAGTTAAAGGAACTGACACATTGTTCATATTATCACTGACACCTGTGCTTCTGTTTCAATGACAAATCACAACATCTGCCATGAAGTCACCAAACTTCACAAACTAGTAAAAATCATAAAGGTGCTTGTCCAGATGCAAAACAAGCTCAGTCTGTGCACACCCACACTGTCCTGAGGTTTAATCACGCAAGTTAACTGATAACACCTGTACAAGTAAACCATGTGTGAGTGGTGCTTCAAATCCAGATAGCATTTGAATGACAATAACTTTATGAGAACAAATGATCACCTTCAGTCCTGTTGTCCAGGTCCCGCATTAAAGTAAAATTTCTCTGTAGTTCACATGGTAGATTTTCAATACCTTGAAAGAGACAGACATCAGGATGAAGGCAATGAAGACATACACTACACTCATTTTTTCAATCAACTGATGTGGTGTCATAACTACAATTCGTCTTGAACTGGATTTTTGAATGTTAAACCTGCAATAATTAATTATTTGCTGATGTATATGGTTGAGCTCATAAACACAGACACAGGGAAATGCTTCAAAAGCATGTGCAAAAATAAATAAATAAATCTAATAATGCAATTTTAAGGAGGGAGAATATAATGTGATTAATTGCAAACTATTAACCATCAATACACATAATAAAATAAAACGCCATTGTGATACAAAGATTAATTACATTAAGAAATAAAATTATTAAAAATAAAAGTCAGCGAGCGAAGATTTTCTATATGTGCCTTGCAATGCATTCACCATCATTTACATTTAACATGCATTTGGGTTAAAGCTTTGTTTTTTTAATGATTTCATAATCGTACCAGTGAGTTCAAGATGCACCGGCTGCTTTGCAAAGAAAATCTGAATATGCAATTAGGTAAATATAGCATGTGTTATATAATACAACTGAAACCCACCACAGTACGAAGAGTATAGTCCCATCTCCCACTGTCACAGTTTGTGTGCTTACATTATGTGACGCACTTCAAACACCCCGCCCCGGCGCGTAAATGGTTAGGGGAAACGCGGTTACCAACAGGTTGCAAATCAAATGCATGGTGTCTGCTATCGTAAAGCAAACACACATGATGACTAAACTGGACACTGTTATATAAAATTGAGTATGACATTAACACGTTAAACAACCTTATATAACCACTGCTAGTTACCTAGCCACTAGCCATATCGATGTGACAGAACACCAAACAGACACTTGCTAACTACAAACGGTTAACTCCGTTAATGTGTGACACTAGTCCAGCTAGCGGTTATATTAGCATCTGATTGAATTCAACACTACACATGGAGAGTTTGCCTAACTTTGTTACAGCGAAATTTATATCGCGATGCTAATTAGTTAGGTCACCACCGTTAGCTCGCTGGCTAACAGCTACTTGCTAACGCACTGTACTGCTGTCAGTCATCCGCCCAGCGAAAACTCTTCGATACTGTCAAACTAAACAAACCGCAAAAAGAAAAGAACGCGGGGAAATGTTGATAATAGTTCACTGTGTCCCCAGATACTCACTGTCAAGATAATGTTCCAAGTATATTGCCGTCGCCATTTCAGGTTAGCTATCTAGCTTCTGCGTTATTCTGGTTAGGTCTCAAACTGTTGGCCGGAGAGCTGTTGGGCTTGTTTCGTAACCCCGGGTCGCCCGTCGGTCAATGGCTTGGAGTTACTTGATTCTGTTAGCAGTATTGGGCTCTCCGGGTGGGAATGAAACGGCGCTCACCACTGCAGACAGGCAGAATCAGTTTCCCTCCAGGACACATGCACCCAGAACCCGTACAGGATACAACTTCTCTGCTTGTGTGCGCTTGTGACTCGCATGCGCACCGCACAGCGGTGTCTCCAGCTGTTATGTGCGAGTGTCATCCTGCATAAATCAAATAAAACTTTTCACTCATTATCTCCACTGTTAGAGTACTTACTACATCTTATACACCCTACCCACGTTATTTATTCCATCTAAGTGTGTACTTCACTCAGCTGAGAAAACATCTATTTCACAAGAGATTCAATCCCAGAACAACTATATGCTAATCATTTAATGTTTTTAGGACTTTCATTGGGCCAAACAGCCCCTTCGCTGTCGGTAAAAACCCCCATGAACAGGAATTTACACCTGACTCGCCAGGTTAGGGGGGAACTTTAACGAGCGCGCCCACGCTGCGTTTGCTAGCACTTTCCAACGCCGTCAGCTGATAAGTCACGTCATTCAAAACAAACGCCCCCCTCTCCACAGAGACAGAACGTTCGTGAAGATGCTCCGTGGGCGGGGCTAACGGAAACTTTCGTCGAGAAAATAACGGCAGTGTGCGGGCTGTGTCCTCGCGGATTATCGGCCAGGCTTTTCCGCTCCAAGGAGGGCATCGTGTTTTGTTTATATCTCACTTCCGTGTCTGCTGTATCTTCACGACAGATTTCATCTTTTCTTCGAACATACAAATAATACAGTAAGTAACTAAAGCACTATTTCTCTTGTTTACAAAGAGTAGTTCCAGTGTATTTGCCAACTATGAACACTGAACTAGCAGGTCTGCTCGCTACTGACATGTTTATTCAAACAACGTTAGCTAACTTCGATTAATGCTACGTTTTGTTTTATAGGCTGCCACAGAAGAAACATCAGCTAAAGTTATCTTTGCCCCATGTTATTACTAGGTCAATCAGTATGCTTACAGTATCAGTTATTCAACACTGTCACCACTCCATATTTTATTAATAAGAAATGAGGTAATCTATTCACAAATGGCCTACTTGATGCTAATATCAGTTACCGTTAGCTAGCTATCGTGCCGTGAGACGGAAAATAAGTGACCAACTAACTGATTAACGTGACTTTAACAAACACTGTAAAGTCCTACCACTGACGATTATTTGCATTAGCTTCTACTAATGTTGTGATGAATAAACATATGGTGTCAACGTTTCTGTTCACTAGCTCACATTAAGTTACAAAACAACCCTCCTGACAGTCAATTCTAGTGGCTTTCAAACAACACTACTGTGCTCAGTTTTATATCTTTAAATATATATATATATATATATATATATATATAATACATATTGTTGTGAAAATAGCTTTGTGGATGTATGCTAATAGTGCTAACAGTCACGAGGTTGTGGCTAAGCCACGCCCATTCATCAGCCCTCAGTTTGTGTCATTATCAAACAGACACTGTCTTATGTACACACATTTGATTGTTACAGGTGTTGTCTCCAAGATGGCCATGGTGAAGAGTGGTTGGCTCCATCGACAAAGTGAGTAGTCACATACACATGGCCACAACAGATCTAACAGCATTTAACAATTATTGTCGAGTTGTAAAGATTCTGTGACACTCGGTTTGAAATCCAGTGTAAATGAATTCAGGTTGTACGGAACTTGACTTTAACATTTTAAAGGTACCATACTGCGCCGGTGGAAAAGAAACTGGTTTGACTTGTGGGCTGATGGACGACTTGTTTTCTATAATGATCAACAACGGCGTGACATGGAGGATGATATTCACATGAGGGTAGACTGCATTAACATCCGCAGCTCTGCTGCATGTCAAGGTACTTATCATTATTGGCTCACACTCACAGTATAGTTCAACTTTTGCTCTTACTTTTAACCCTGCCCACTTTCTGTTTGTCCTTCTGTATTGCTTCTCAGAGCTGAACCCACCAGAGGGGAGGATGCGTGATGCCTTGCTCCAGATAGTGTGCAGAGATGGACGGGTCATCAGCCTGTGTGCAGACAGTGCAGATGATGCTCTGTAAGGCAGCACAACTTTTTGTTTCCATGTTGGTGAAGTTGAATGTTTTAATTTTAGGTCTTTGTCTACATTTCTACTTTTTGTTGCAGAGCATGGACCATGGCACTTCAGGATGCCCGAATTAATGCAGTGAGTTTCTGCTACATCTGAAACAACTTGGGTTTTGCTTTGTTTTCCAAAATAAGAACAGGAAGTTGTTTGTTTTTATCTGTCTTATTAAACAAATAGCTCTTACTTAAATATTATGTCTGTGATCTAAGACAGACTCAGAACAAAAGACTGGAGGCCACAGATATTTTTCTATCTTGTTTCTGTCTGTGTGAGACAACACTCATAGTCTGTTTTTTATTATATCTCTCTGATGGTAACCCGAATACAACACAATTACAGTCTTTACTCATTTTGTCACAATTCTCCACAGTTTGTCCTAACGTCATGTAGCTCAGTTTTATTTGTGACCCACTCAAAATCCAGGAGCCGCCGTCTCATTTGTGCTGTTTTTTATTTTCAGGTGGTTGCTACGCCTCAGATCAGCTTTGCACAGGAAGTGATGGCATCTGCTCCTCCCCCCTACTCGGAATATGCTACCCCACCTCAGGTAAAAGGCATAGACAATATACCTGTATGTTATAATTTTTTCTACAATAAATTGTTAAAACCCAGTTTTATGTGACTCTATGAACAGGATTGTTTCTAATATTTTACAGGAACAATTTGTTTTCATAATAATCAGTCAGTGTTCACATTCATAACAGCAGACAGGCGTCGTGTTAAATGCATAAAACTGGAGATATATGATTAGATTTCTGACTTTGGGTACGGAAATCTCAGGTAAAGGAGAAATATCAATAATAGACGCTTTTAATTGACTTCTTTAAAGTGGTAGTAACTGAAAAGGATTTGGCTTTTCAGTGCTGTGTATACTGTGAATATTAAACTTTGCAGTTCAGCTTGACATGATCCTTCTTAAGGGAAAACGAAGCTATAGAGCGAGGTAAAATCAGAAAGTAAAAACAGCTACTTAACAACAGTGTTACAGCCTGCTGCCATCTACTGGTCTATTAATAGAAGTGTTAAAAGCACCATTAAATAGCATTAGTGAAATTAATGCTAAATCAAATGACTCTTTAGTGTTGTGAAGGGTTTGTCAGTACTGACATCTTTCTTTTCTGTCACTTCTCACCAGGCTTATGCTCCAGGCCCGTATGGAGACTACGCTGCGCCTCCCCCACATGCCACCCAGATCATGTACTCTGCCGACGGGCAGCCTTACGCTGTTGCGTATCCTTATCAGTACCAAGGTAAATATTTCTGTGCAGAAGTAAACCATCACACTGAAAGTGAGACTGAACTCTGTGACATGGAAAAGAGCCGTTTACAAAAATGCATCAAGTTTCTCAAATTGAATTGAATTGAATCTTTGATAAACCTTATTATACTTTCTAGATTGTTTGTACCCTGTTCAAAACATAACAGTTCTCTACCTTACATTGTTTCGCAGCCTCATGTGAGCATTAAATTTATCCACCCAGTAGCTGGTGAGACAACTCAGTCTAGACAGAAGCGGTGCGCCGACATTGCCGTCCCTGAAAATATATTAATAAGTGGTTTGTTGTCACCGTTTCATCCATGTTCCGTACATCCAGAGCTCATCAAAGCAAGTTTAAATGTCAGCATTGCAAATTTAAACGAGACCTCATTTGTCTGTGTCTCTCTCTAGGTGGATACGCTGCTCCTGGAGTGAACCATGTCATTATTCGGGAGCGCCAGCGCGACGATGGAGGAGACGTAGCTTTGGGCATGCTCGCCGGAGCGGCGACCGGTCTGGCACTGGGCTCCCTCTTCTCCGTCTTTTAGTGTCTTGGTTAATGTACATGTAGTAGCACAGCGCCCCCCTCTGTCTTCACAGCATTCGGCTTCTTCTTTGTGCCATCACATGAGTTGGAGAGAAACGTGTCTGTCGGGCTACTTCCATCGATGAAGCATGATTGTGATGGGCAGGAAAACTGCTCCCTCTGTGTCCTGTACATGAAGTAAATACTGTTAGCACTTTCTCATATGCCCTGTGCGGCACTTTCCCACTCCCTTTGTGTCGTCTGAATATGAATGTTCTTAACCAAAAAATACAAGTTATTCACGTTTAAGAGTTATTTAAATGACAGGAAGACGCTCCTCCTCGTACGTACACTTCAGCTAACGTCTCAGTCAGGTTTGTTTCTGTTTCACGGACCATTTGTCCTTTTATATTTGCAGAACTGTAACTTTCAGGAGTTGTTTGTTTTTAGTCCAGGTTTTGTGTTTATTTGTTTACTCGACCTTATTTGACTTTGTTTTACATGTTTTACTGGCCTGGTTTTAACATGTAGCGTTTCCTCGGGTTATTTGTGGTGGCGACAGAGTGCAATGCGATGAGAGTTGTGTAAATAGGAATGAGAACACAGAGCAATAATCATTTCACTGTAGCATTTTCAGGTACCTATTCGGTGGAATCTGGTTGTGATGGAGGTCTGATGTTGTCTTCACCACAAATAATCCTGTGCATGAGGAAACGGCGGCATTTACATGATGTGCTTTGAACTGAAAAGGGACGTCACTCCTCTTGACTGACATATATTTGCATGCGTGGTTTATGGTCCATTTTTCATTGGCAGCTGTTGAATCACACTTTTCATTTCATTTGCAGTGTGTTTGAATTGGTGTTTAGGTTTTTTATTTCGGTATGAACAAAGAACTGATCAGGTTAATCTCCTGAGGTCCGGGTGTCATCGGATAATCCATAATTCATTTGTAATTTAAAAACAAAACCTGTAAATCTGTTTATGTCAAAACCAAAAGCACTAACGCTTCACTTCCTCTTCCTGTCTGTCTTTTGCAAAATGAGAAATGGAAAAAAGAATTTGCAAAAACAAAAACAAAAACAAAGCTTTTTGTTTGGAAACAAAAAACGAATAGACCAAGTGATTTTGTTTTTTGTTTAAAAATGAAATTGAATTAAAAAATAAAATCAGGAGAATGGTTTAATGGTTTAAAACCGAATTCATTTGATAATGATAAAAGGAATTGCCTCAAACCTTTTTCTGTTTTGGTTTTAAAACAACAGGTTTTTTTCCTTTTTAAATTGCAAATGAATTATGGATTATCCGACGACACACAGACCTCCTGAGATTTCGCTGCATTTCACTTGGCCATGACTGAACTTTCACTCCAAATGATTTGATATTCTATCTCCATGACTCACGTTAATCATGAGTTTATTTAATCACTTTAAAATAGCAACTTCTGCTAAATGGAAAACATGTTGGTCTGTTTTAAGATACTGCACATCTTCGTTGACAACGCTAACTGAAGGGAAGTCTGAGACTCTTCAGACTCAAAATTATTTCAGTTTTGCAAATGATCATCTTGTGCAAGCAGCTTAGCTCTGATGTCATTTTTCTACAGGTCGTAAATCGATGTGAAACTTGTTTAATTTCTCTTATCAAATGTACTAATTAAACCAGAGACCATCATGTGATGGGATCAACCAGCCGCGACGCCCAGCAACATGTTGACGTTCTGACACATTACTACATTATTGGTCAGACTCACGGTCGGACCACACACATCTTCAAACTCGGCATTTCATCTCGATCTCAACTACACACCTGTAAAGTTTTCTGCCTCTGTCCAGCTCAGCTGTGATGCTGACGTGGCGACAAGGTCTGTCCACAGACATAAACACCTGCCAAAGGACTAAACCTGCCTCCTTAGTGGGTCGTTACAGTAACACACACACACACACACACACACACACACACACGGTGAAAACAATATTCCTGCTGTTGTGGCTGGTAATTATGATTTACCTGCATTTAAAATAAAAATGTATGACACTTAACTAAGAGATGTATTTTAACTATTAAATACTGTATATTCACAAAGGTAACGATGACTCCTGTTTCCTTGTTTCCTTTATTTAACCCTGAGACTTGAGTTCACAGAACACGTCATGTAGGATACAACAAAAGTGCAAACGACCACCTTAAGTTTTATTCATGTAACCCCAGTAAACCCCAAATATTCTCTTAAATAAAGGCAACGCAGTTTGAGCTCGATCTATAAATCTAGGATCTATAAATAATTCAGAACACGACGTCTGAAAGTTTAGGAAATATGTGCAGAGACGCTGTGGGTCAATGTTCAGGCACATGGATCAAAATTTAGAAATGCTTTTAGAAGCAATAATGTACAATACTACGTTATGTGTCCTGTAAAGTTCAGTAACCATGGAGACCCAGAAATCCCTCTTTACCGCTGGTAATGACAGTTTTGTGTGCAGCACATAGTTTGTTCATTGATGCAGCTTTTTAAAAAACCTCCCACCTAAATATGAATATGCCAAAAAATTTCAGGGTAAAAATAACCAGTAAAATGTTACGTACAAGTTTTAAAGAGAGCAGGCTTTCAAAATGTTAAAGTACGACTTCCCATTGGCTAAAATCTAAACCCTGAAACAAACTCTTCCCCCTCATATCACTTTAAGAAGAGGTATGTAGTGTTGGAAAGGTGCATTTACCCACTGACTTCATGTTCAACTACATTTAGAGACAGAAATTTTTCTTCAAAAAAATAAAGATCGTAACTTTGGTTCGATAAAACAGAATCAACAAGTAAATAAAAGAAATATGAAACCTTACAAATGTTTGGATGTAAACACGAGCCTAAGTGGATTGATATATAAGCCGTAAATAGAGCTGAAACAGTTGATTAATTGATTAGTAGACTGACAAAAAAGTGATCAATTAAGATTTTGATCAGTGATTAATCGTTTCAGTTTAACATCCACTTGCTTTTTCTGTTTTTTCCACGTCTTACTGTCACGACTTCTTTGGGCTTTTCTGACGACCGGACTAAGAAACTTTGGGCTCCTGTTACAGACCAAAAGATGAATCGATCAATCAAAAGCATAACTGACAGAGCAAATGATTGTTATTTGCAGTCGTACTCATGAGTAGAGGATGAACAGTTTTAGCCTTCTTGACCAAAATCTTCAGTAAACTTCTTCAGCTTGTCCAGGTCCTGCTCGTTCACCGTGGGCTTGGTGCTCGTCAGCGACCTCTGCATGTCAGCCTGTCGGGAGGAAGACGTCCTGATCACTGCGCTCATTAATAACACTCATCCACATACGACGAATTAAAACGAGTCTTTTCTCACCATGGACACGACTGGCTCCAGAAGTTTGTCCCCGGGAACCTCCATCCACGTCATCGCTACGGCGTTGGGATCTCCAGGCGAGCATGGAGTCAGGAGGTCTTCCACCACAACGCCCGGATTGTTCCAAGTTGAACCCCGAACCTAAACGTGTGTGTATGTGTGTGTGTGTGTGTGTGTGTGTGTGTGTGTGTGTGTGTGGAAGCAGAAACACAGAACACTTACAGTAAACACACTGTTAACTGGGTGAGTCAGACAGACGAGTTCAGCACGAAAATACTTTTAAAATTCATATTTTTCAAATGATGTGTGTTTAATATCTCCCAGTGTTCATGCAGTTCCACTTATATTAGAGTCCACATTCAGTGTATGGTTTATATTAAAGTACAGTATTATTGACAGGTACAAATATTCATAGGTGAACCTGCAGTCTCATTTTTTGGCAGCAGCAGCAGAAACAAGCTGTAAAACAAGAGAAGCTGAGACTGAACCAAAACTGTGACGTTACAGGCTGTAAAACTAAAAGCTGGACGGTCGAATGAAAGTGGCACCAACTTAAAACAATCCGATTTATTTTGGAGCCACATGTTCCAGCTGGATTCCCGCAGGGTTCGAGGACAGGTAGGAGAACAAGCCCAGGTGTTCTTACCTTCTTGAAGTGAGTGGCTGACTGAACCCTCCTGACCGGCTGCATGAGGGCGTCCCTGACGATGATGCTGATGTCAGCCCCAGAGTAACCGTCTGTCTTCTTGCCCAGAGTGGTGAAGTCTGCCTCCGTCAGGTCGTTGGGGGTGGAGCCCAGGTGCAGCTTGAACATGAAGGAGCGTGCGTGCTCCTCAGGCAGAGGGATGTAGATCCGCTTTTCAAACCTAAGACACAGACAAAAGATTCAATCAGCTCATATTTCAAATCTGGACTAACACAGTTCTGGACCCACACCTGACAGGTGAGTAGGTAGGGATCATTTCTATATAAGTCAAACTAACCTCCTCCTGATGGCGGAGTCCAATGTCCACGGTATATTTGTGGCTCCCAGCACCAGGATTCCCTCATTATCATTTCCAACACCTGAGAGGAGGATGACATATGAACACTTATAAACAGAGTCCAGCCTCTCTGATCTGAGCTCAGACGGTCGGGTGTCTCTTCTCGCTCACCCTGCATCTGAACCAGGAACTCCGTCTTGATCCTGCGCGCCGCCTCGCTCTCGTTCTCGCTCCTGGAGCCGCAGAGGGAGTCGATCTCGTCGATGAAGATGATCGATGGCTTGTGTTCTCGAGCCAGACAGAACAGGTTCTTCACCAACCTGGAGAGAGACAGAGGAGGAGAAGTGAGAGGTGTTTCATATTTCCATCACGTCATCATGGTGTAGGAGAGCACCTCACTTTTCACTCTCCCCCAACCACTTGGACACGAGATCGGAGGAGGAGATGGAGAAGAAGGTGGAGTTGTTGGCTTCAGTGGCCACCGCCTTGGCCAGGTAGGACTTCCCTGTTCCTGGGGGGCCGAAGAGAAGGATCCCCCGCCAAGGAGTCCGCTTTCCTACACAAGCAGTTGTTGTATCATTAAATCCTGTTCACATCAACACACATCAGGAGCTTAACAGCTGCAGGTTCACACACCTGTGAACAGGTGAGGGAATTTGATCGGCAGGATGACGGCTTCCTTTAACGCCTCTTTGGCTCCTTCAAGTCCAGCGACATCGTCCCACTTGATGTTTGGCTTTTCCATGACAATGGCACCTGTGAGGGAGGGGCGTGACAAACACTTTAAAGACTGAAAATGACTCTGAAGTTAGAGCGTCTAACTGTGACGCCTTGTTCACCTGCTGCATCTCTCTTCATATTAATAAAACACTGCGTCATTCACCTGAGAGTTGGTTTTGGAACTTCTTCTTCTCTTTGTCCTCGCCTTCATCACTTTCACTCCTGGCGTTAAATAAAAACAGATCACATCATGTTTATTCACACTTTGCATTTCCACCTTACCCATCTTGTGTGCCCCAGGTTTATATATATAGTTTTTTGTATATTTATTTATATATATACATATATTTCTCTTCCTTGTATATACATACAGTGTAAACAGTACATGATGCATGTATAACCAATCATAAATCACTGTCAATGACTGATAGACACTCCCACCAGGGATGAACTGTCACCCACCCTGACATGAGGTGGGTGGAGCTATTTAAGTATTAATGGTTGTAATAACTGTTTAAAACATCTCTGACGAAGGTCGAGAGACCGAAACGTTTGGATGATCAATAAGTTGTGATGCTGAGCGAGAGCAGTGTGCGAGATACTTTTCTTTTCAAGACTGAAGTGACACTTTCCAACACACCTGCACCGGAGACAGGTGGATGTGCGAATACCTTCATCAAAGTATTAATTATAGGGAAAATGGAGGCAGTGTTCAAAATACTTCTGGTTAAACAATTTACTGAAACAAACTTCAACAAATCTGAAGTCTAATTCAGGTTAAATAAATGAATCAAATGACTGATGTTTGTGGGTTTAAAGGTGCCACAGAGCAGTGCAGCTATCAGTGGAACCACATCTTGTTCGTTCCTTCTTGTGCATGTGACACACATTTCACAAAGCGCCAACAAAGTCAGAGAAGAAGACTGCAAGATAGTTAGCATGGACGTAAACAATGCAACTTTCAAAATGTTAAAGTTTTACTGGCTCCTCATGAGCCTGGATTTAAACAAGTGCTGAAGAGAGTCACAACAGAACAAAACCTGGGACTCATCACACGTTCTTACTGATCAGTCTCACCCTTTGTCCTCAGACTGGGACTCTTTGACGGGTTTGGCTGGAGGACTCTTCTCCTTCTTCCTCAGGTATTCCTTCAGCTGCTCGGCTCTGTCCAGGTAGTCGGTGCACTTATCCCTGATGCTCTGCTTCGCTCTCTCGCCCTGGGCCTCATCTGCAGCGACAACACAGCAATTAACTTTAATGTGTCACTGTGTGGACTTCTGCTCCTGAACCTGCAGCAGTGCAAAGAGCAACAGCTTCAGAACTGCTCACAACAGCGTTCAAGAATAAAACATGACATGTTACTTAAATAAAGTAAAATAAAGATGGAGATGCATGGGGTGTTTCCTGCTGCAGAAGCTTTTCAAACAGTGTAAAGCAACTGCAATAATGACTCATTTATAGACGAATGCAGACTGATTTATGCCACTACTGGCTGCGGAGTGATTACATGATGGTTTCTTTACATTTTAAGAATCATTTTTGCATTATTGCTGCACGTTTGCTGCATCTATCGTTTTCTTTTAATGATAAAAATCACCAGAGTGAGAGCAGGAAACAGATGTGGTTCTGCAAACTCTATCTCACTCTGCACCCGCCCTGCGCTCGCCACAGAAATAAAGTAAATTTCAAGGTTGAGAAATGAACAAAACTCAGGCTGGTCGTTGCTCCGCCATGAAAGTACGACCCTAAGAGACTTAGATCATGGAGGTAGTGAAGTGTAAAAACAGAAAATCACACAAATGCTGTAAAAATCAAACACTGGTAGTCATAAGTCATAAGTCAGGTTCCTCACACTTGACAACGTGAAGGAAGTACTGTATTGCATGCTGATAACATCTGAGGGCCTCCTCGTAGTTCTTGGCTTTGTCCTCCTCTGCAGCTTTGTTGGCCAGATCTATCGCTTTCTGTGAACAACAGACAAGACGGAGGAGAAGAATTCAGGGTACAACTTCCTAAGAAGAGGTAATAAACACTGTTATTAATGGTTAATGAATTATTTACACATGTTGGTAATCCATTAAATAATACTGACTAATGATGAAAACGATTAGTACAACTTGTAAAGCGTTTATAAAAGGTGCCTTAGTGGTAGGAGAAGTACTCAGCTCATTTACTGAAGTAAAATATGTACAACAGTATAAGTTATCCATCATAAGTAAAAGTCCTGCTTATAAAAGTATCATTAAAGTATCAAAAGTAAAAGTATTCTGCAGAAAAATATTTATTACTATATCAAATCAAATCATATATTACATTATCAATGGTTTTATGGTTGTTATATGCATCATTATTAACAATCATGACATGAATGTTATGTACAGGTCGGTGCTTTAGTCCGATGGTTCCCAAACTAAGGGTCAGGCCTCTTCCAAAAGGTCACCAGAAAGATGTGAGGGGTCGTGAGATGATCATATTATATTGTGAAGTATTCTGGACTTTTCTCTAACCGCCGTTTTTGTGAACTATTGGACACGTTTGAGGATTTGAACAGTTACTTCAGTGAACCCACCTGAGGAGTTTAGAGAGGTAAATCAGTGTTTGGTGGAGCTGCTCAGACATCTCAAATATGACAAAGGCGCCTCAAATACACCCTGTTTTTTTCTAGGAGGTTTCTAAGAGGTTCACTGGTTTGATTTTCAACAGCGCATGTTGTTATGTTGTGTTATGTTTTTTTTAATATAAACCATAAACCTCCCATACACAAATGAATACAAATATGTATGTTTATGTATCTAGGCTTACTTTGTAAACACGTGTTATGTAAATATACATCCATCACAAAGTTCAAAAAGTCTGAATGAGAAGATAAACATGTTTAAAACGAATATGAAATTAAAAAGAAAAAGATATATCAGCATATAGAATCATCATATTTCATGTTATAAATGTACATCTTCTTATATCTACAGGATATGTATATATATGATAATAATATACCCCCTCATAGGTGACACATATGGCAACATCCCTTTAGATATAAGGACATACATGTGATATACATTTCGTCATTAAATTTCTGTGCGGACCGGAAACCAGGAACTAAAGCTGACAGATAATTTTAGCTGCTGAAGTTCGGTCTGAACAAATACTCATGTACATCAAACTTTTACTGCGCTACAGGAATTGAGTAAATGTCCTCAGTTACTTTCCACCACTTTAAAAAGGTTAAACAACAACAAAAGAGATTTTTCACAACCTGGCAACCCCAAATACTGTTCTTATTATTAGTCGATTAACTGATCCATAAAGCGCGATTCAATAATCGTTAATAAAACCATTAGCTATTAATCGAAACCCCTATAAAGAGGTTTAAGTACGTAGTTTTTAGTTTGATTTAAAATGATTAAAATCGGATCTTATGTAACAGCAGCTTTGTCAAAGTCTGTCACTCACCTGTAAGTTACCTCCGGCCATCAGCTCTGGTAACGTCGGTCCAACGTCGGTCCAACTTCAGTCTGCAGCTCAAAATAAAACTATTTAAACAAACTGTCTCCCGTCGTTTTCCTGTCACTTGTTATTTATATTTCATTTTGTGAGAACGTCAGTCGAAAAACATCCTAAACGTTTGTTTCTCTTCCGCTTCAGGAAAAAGTTGACTGTCACTTCCGCGGTGGTCACGTGACAGTGTTATTGTCTTCTTCTTCTGTATTTTCACTCAAACTAAAGTGAAGCCTTTTAAAACAAGTGAAATAATTCAGGTGGAACTACGTGGATGTAAATGTTTAGAATTAATTCTTTTACTTTAAAGAAAGAACCGGAAATAAATTCAACCAAGCTACAGGTGAGTTACACCTGAGTTATAGCCTACAGGTGTACATTTAACAATACTGATCTCTAGTGAGTATTTGTGGGAACTAAATAATAGTGTTTTTATAATATATATCATTGTTTTTCTGTTGTATTTGCATATTTTAGATAATATTCTTCTGTGACCTTTCAAAATAAAACAATCCTCATCCATCAAATAAATGCACGCTGCCACTCCTGCGTTAATTAACAAATTTACACTTTATTACATTTATTAAAAAGGCAAATAAATAGTGTGCAAAATATCTAGAAATCTTACAACACCGGGGGGGTGAAGAAAAATAAATGCATATACTGTGGAACACCAGCTTAAAGGAGACGATGCAGGTGGAGGACAGATGCAGTTTGGTCGCACATTGTGTTGCTGAGTATTTAGTCCAGGTTTATTCAACATATGACAGCAATCAGAAGCAAGCACCATGTACAGTACATGTGGTTGAGTAGATTCGACAGTGTGTTGTTGCTTTATTTTCCCCTCACATCAGTGCGGTTCAGGCAGGCAGGAGGACGGGGGTCCGGGGTTGTCATCAGCTGTCTCCATTCAAGAGTTTTAGATGTAAAACTTTGAGGATGCGATCGCTCTTTGTAAGATCTGCAGGGAGTTCATTACTCTGCAAAACACACACAAGAAAAATCAAATGAGCTGAAGTTTCTTCTTTTCTTGTTTGTTTATGACCCGTCAGATCTAAAATACGTCTCACCTTGTTGGGGAGGGCGGGGTCTGCGTTGGCCCCGAGCAGCAGCTGAACAGTTCGCTGATCTCCGCCCATAACAGCAGCATGGAGGGCAGTGGAGCCGTTCTGGAGACAATAAGCATATGTATTCACAGTGCTTATGGAGAGGTGGTGTATTCTCCACTCAATGCTAAATATAAATCTGCTCTTTATCCTGCACTGAAGATGTTGTGATTGTGATATGAGTCACGATTTCAGTTGGAATGGTCATTTTCACTGAAAAATAAATATAAAAATGATGATGATGAGATTGTTGTTGTTCTTGTACCAAACAAACATGTTCCTATACGTCTGGAGAGTATGATCTGAAGGCTGAGGCGTCTCTATAGCACCACAACGCTTCATTTATGGTCTGTTGTGACACATTTTACCTTTATAAAAATAATGTTTCGAATAATTGTGAAGCCCTAGTAAATATTAAATGAGCAGTTTGTAGAAAATACGAGACGGTTACTAGAAGTTTGATACCACTCATCTCTATACACTAAATATGAAGCTACCACCAGCAGACTGTTAGCTTAGCTTAGCTTAGCACAAAAGCTGGAAATAGGTAAAAGCAACTAGCCTGGCTCTATCCCATTGTGCAGGTTGAGCTGATGAGATGCAATGTTGGTAAACTTCAGAGGAACTGGACGGATTTCGTTACCTTCATCCAAAGCTAAGCTAGCTGTTTCCTGGTCTTTCCACTAAGCTAAGCTAAGCTAACCAGCTGCTAATGGTAGGTTTATATTTAGTGTGCAGACACGAGAGGGAAATCAATCAAAGTAAATACGGTTATTCACCCAGAAAGTCCAAAAGTTCCTTAGAAAAGGTGGATGTCTGTGACAGTGTGCTCTACCTTGAGAAGGCCGAGTGAAGGAGAAAACTTGAGGAGCTCCTCGATGACGCTGTTGTGTCCCTTTAAAGCCGCTTTGAATAACGCCGTGGATCCATCCTCAAGACACAGAAACATTGCAATTATTCTTAAATAATCTCCACTCAAGTTCCACTTACTGGCTTCCTATATAGCTTTTCCCATGGTCTTTATTCAGCTATTAAGTTTCCTCAGTTGTCAACGGTAGATGGTCAAACACATCTACATTTCTCATCCAGCTTTAAAGGCAACATTAAAGTTATAATCTGTAACTTTTCCACATTAAAACGACTAGACATATGTTCTATATGTTCTGAGTTGTGTTCTTCTGAGGTTCTTCAGGGTCAGTGATTCCTTCAACATACAAGTAGTCACATGATTCTTTGTTTTAATTGCCAGAGATTAAGACTGTGAGACAGGGTTGAGACCAAATAAATAAATGCACCTTAAAGGAATAGTTGGTGTTACTTGAAGTGGGATTGTGTGTAGTAATACGGTCGTTCAACGATTGAGAAAATGTAGTTCCAAAGGAAAGGGCTGTTTGATAAAGTGGAGGGAATATTGTCAATAAAGTTTGCAGTTCAACTGACACTGTTTTTGTGCTTCTGCTGCTGCTTCTCCAAACTGAGAGAGTGCTGATCTGAATCTGCAGGTAACACACTGACCAGCTATAACCACAACTACTGTCAGTTCTTTCACATGATGTCTTCAGTCTGTTTGGTCGTGTTTGGGACGAAGTGAGTAAATGACAAGAATGTGTAATTTCATAAATGAACTGCGTACTTGTCTGTCAGCATCCCGATCTGCACCACGCAAGAGCAGCACCTTCACCACCTCACTGTGACCCATCTGAGCTGCCATCCACAGGGGGGCAGTGCCGTCCTGGAGAATTACGTGGGATGCGGGGGCGGTTGGGGGCGGTGGGGCGTTGGGGCCTTGGGCGCAGTGGCGGGTGGGTTCCAGAAAAAAAAAAATCTGACAAAAGGACATAAAAATGAGAATATGAGGGTGGATGCAGGCAGGAGATGTGAAAGAAGACACTGTGGGACTGTGTCCTTTCAACTGTGCCGGGACGTTACCTCCCTCGCTTGGTTAACCTTGGCCCCAGATGAAAGCAGCTGACGGATCACAGTCACATGACCCTCCTGAGCGGCGAGGAACAGAGAGGTGGCACCATCCTGAAACATAAAGAGAACCATCTCGTACACAGGGTGATACTCATACTCCTACTTGTCTCCTGCACTTGGCTTGTACCTGTCTGAAAAGCTGAAGTGTATTTATAACAAATTACTACATGACTACTACTTCATGTACAGTTATACTTGTTGTTGTCGGTTGTTTTCCACAGCCTCAGGTGAAACACTGATCCTGCCAAATGTCAGTCGTGTCTGACTCAGCTGTCTGCAGAAACCTGAGAGGCTGGATTCCAGCTGCCGGGACATTGTGTGAAACTAACCATCAGACACAGAGGCTGAGCACAGGGCCACGTGGGGGGGGGGGAGCTGAAGACTCACATTCAGCTGGTCATGAACATTGGCTCCATTCTTCAGCAGGGTGTCCACCACCTTGGAGTGTCCATACTGGGAGGCGACGGTGAGAGCTGTGCCTCCGTCCTGCCACAGAAACATGAGGAAAACAACAACAAGTGTCTCCATCAGCAGAATCTAAACTAAAGCTGAGAGTCAGCAGCGAGCGCTGCAGCCTGAGCAACACCCTGCGCTTCATTTATCTCCACATGAAACACTCTGAACCACCGTCTGAGGTAATCGCAGCATTCTCAATCACACCCAGTGTGACGAGGACGGTGACCTGCACTGCAGCATACCTTTGTCTGGAATTCAGTGGAGGCACCGAATTCAAAGAGCAGCTTCACGACGTCATGGTGTCCCTGCTGCGAGGCGAAGAACAGGGCAGTGGAACCAGTCTGGAGAGGAGAATAGAAAAAGTTGCTGATGTCATTACGACAATGTTGAAAACAACGTTTCATCTTTAAATGGATTTGAAATTTGAACCACAACAGAAAAAAAAGCTTTAAAATGAAGTTCAGGACTCTTTGATCTCACTCTGCTGACAATGTGAAAGAATCTTTGCAAATCTTTTCTTGTTCTCAACCAGGTGTTTTCTTACAAACTACTTTTCAAACATGAAACGAACATTTCAGACGCTTCATTTAAAGCAACAGTTTGACTTTAATACTTCAATAAACTGATACCACTGGTGGCAAAGAAGCCCATCAAAGAACCCCCCACCCTCCACCCCCACATGCAGACTATTGCCAGACGCAACAATTTACAGCTGTTCCCTGAATGCCTCACACACAGACAATCCTACAGCACACATTGTCAGGTGCCCCCCTTCGAGGGGCTTTGGGGCAACAGCAGAGACTGTATAGTGTCTTCATGTTTAGGTTTAAAGGGGTTTAGAGTTGTCATTGCAAAATGTGCCAGTATGAGGGGCCATCATGGACCCCTTTGCCATTGGGGGTCCCCCAAACATTTGCTTCATTTGCCTCTGGATTCCACTCACAGCCAGTTAGCTTAGCTTAGCGCAAATACAGGAAACTTTGTTTACTCAGCACAAAGTGTAAAAATCATTTTGCTCACGTGTCAGACGATTACTATTTGTTGTCCAGGAGCCCTCGAGTCTCTGATAGCTTAGCTTAGCTTAGCTTAGCTTAGCTTAGCTTAGCACACAGACTGGAAAAGGGGTTATGTGCTTGACTATATCTTGAATGGGAGCAGTGACTTCCTGGGACCTTCAACTTTCTATCTGGCAACTTCGGTGACATTGGTTTCATTGTTTCTTTGTGGTGGCCATTTATTTTCCCATCATACCTCTCTCTGATAGTTGATGTCAGCCCCTTGCATGATGAGTTCTTTGACACAGTCATAATGGCCGCTGTACGACGCCACCATCAGCGCTGTCGTCCCGTACTGAAAAGAAACGTGTCAATAATATGTTTAATTTATCAGGACGACTTCCTGGAAACTGCTTTAAATGTGGCAATGAAACTACTAGATTATGCAGATTTTCCACCCTCACTCTTTATCATGATGGCACAGAAAACATAATATGGATGTGAAACTGTGATGCACACACACACACACACACACACACACACACACATGCACTACACCTCTGTCTCCCTACCACAGCTGGGTTATGGTTAAAGCGTGCAGCTGAGCAGCCAGGACATGCAGTGTTCATACACTGTCTCTGCAGTCTGCGTCCACGCGGCCGCTGTTGAGCAGCAGCTGAAGAAGAGCCAAGTTCCCCTTCCTCGCCGCCCAAAACACGGCATTAGCCAGGGGTGTTTCCTTCTGGGGAGTAAATACACACAACAACCGCTGACCTTAAACCACCATTACAGTATTACACACACTGACAGTGACAACAGTAGAGAGTGCAGAGGGTTTAAAGTGTCTGGTACTGAATGACAGGTAAGTCATTAATCAGGTGTGTCAGCTGACCAAACACACACACACACACACACACACACACTCACACACTCAGAAAAGATTTGAATAAAGTTGCTGTTACATCAAACACAAATGCACAGTCACAGGTAAATGTTTGAAATTCAAGTAGGACTACATGACACCATATTACCCCCCCCCCCGACACACACACACACACACACACACTGAATAAGCTGAGGAGATCTGAATTAAGTTGCTGTTGCATCGATCACAAATACACACGTGCACAGTCACAGGTTTATGTTTGAACTACAGGCCATATGATACCATATTATACTCACACACGCGCGCGCGCGCGCACGCACGCACACACACACACACACACACACACAGAGCTAGACTGTGAGACTGCACTGAAGTCAGTTAACAGACACTTTCATCTCAGGTAAATGCATCGCGTCGTTGAATAAACCCTGAGAGTGAAGGCGTCCACAGTCTGACAGGAAGCAGGTGTGATCTGTCTCCTCCTTGCACCTCCAGGCCTGCGGCCGCCTGCATGATGCACGATGCATGGAAAAAAGCTGGTTTACCTTAAAAGACATGGCGCAGACCTCAGTCGTGACTCATGTTTCTTCCTGCGCACTCGTTCATTAGAGGCGCTGAGCTGAGCGCCACTCGCCTGTTTTGCCGCACTGTGTTTGGGTGTTGGCGGCGGCCGTCCGGGGACATAATAACAGGCACACGGTCAGCTGAGCTCATCCTCCGCAGTCACTGCTGCACGGAGGTTACCAGCCGGCCACCGGGGGGCGCTGCCGCACACGCACGGACTCCACTGTGAGCCAGGAGCCGGGCGGATGGATACGGTTTAACTTCATGGATCAAAGTTTCTCACATGGAGGATCCGACACTGACACAAATCAGACCACAGACCCGCTTTTCATAAGATTCTTATGTTTAGATGTTTTATTACAGACCGTGTTTGAAACCCAGGACCAAACATTCTGTCAGTGTTTCATAAAGATGGAGATATAGTGAAAATAAATCGCCAACTTTGCTGGGGACCCCCTCGAGGACCCCACTTTGAGAACACCTGGTCTAAACCAAGTCAACACATTTAACAAAGTGCTGTACCTAGTTATAATTTTAAGGGTCTTGTGCTTGAGTATTTTAATCTTACTTTATATCTCTGCTCTGGTGCATTTATTTAAAAATTTACTGCTACATTTATCTGACAGCTGCAGTTACTAGTTACTTCACAGATTAAGATTTTCAGCTTTAAAGAAAATGCAAAAACATTTCTAAAAAATGGATGAACTTTTAAATAAAACGCATTGCTTTGTTTCAGGTGGTTAGACAGTCAGGTTTATAGGATGTTGATGTTGTCAGCAGTTTCCCTGTAAACGGGTCAGGGTTAGAGTTAGATGTCAAATTATACATTATGTGACAAAAATTCAAAGACAATAGGGCGCCCTGGTAGAGTTCATACCATTCAGGCCCTTTGCTGCATGTCATCCCCTCTCTCTCTTCCCCAGCCTGTCTCTCTCCCACTGTCCCTGCTTTAGTGAAGGCATAAATGACAAAAAACAAACTCAACAAAAATCAATCATCTCTCGATCCCTCTGATTTATCTTGTGACCCTTGGGTGGGGGCTGACCCCAATGTTGGGAACCACTGAACAAGAACTGCATGTAAAGTTGTTAAAACCAGTCTGAGCTACAACAATTCCTCTGCTGGTAATCCGTCTGCACTTTAACCTAAGTAGGATTTTGATGCAGAAGTTGTTGCTATAATGGAATATTTTCCATCACTGTACTGGTGTTTCTACTGTAGTAAAGGATCTGTGTACTTCTTCCACACCTGGTTTTGGAAAGTTATATGTCAGGTGTTGTGCTCAACTATAAACCAGCATTTGAGGGATTTATGAAATTGCAGCTTTCGCTCTCTCTAAATGATAATGAGGTATTACAGAGGAGGAGCAGCGAAAGCAACTTATTTTTGTTGACTAATATCCTTCTCAGGTGCTGCCACAAGTGTTGATTTAGGGATTCGGTAAAAGTAGAGTAGGGGCATGTACTTACTGCAAAGCTTTATAAGGAAGGTTGACAGTGTGTCTGTTGCTGCATCGCTGTCCAGAGTCGCTGTCAGACCATGGGAATAAAACAGACTCACATCCATGCAGGTAAGATGGTCAAGGCTTTTTATTTCATCTGAAACCTGAGAGACTGTGACAAGGTTTCACATAAAGTTGGCTTCTAGGTTAGTTAAAGTTTCACTGAAGCTTTAAGGAACATGAACCTTTTCTAAATTAAACTAGTGAAAGTCTAAAAGTTTAACTTAACCTGCAGCACTTTAATCTGTGTCAGGATCCTTTAAAATCCTATAATCCTCACTTATGATATGATGGCAGGTGTATATTTTTTTTTATGTATAACTACATTTAAGTGAGTCCAGTCATAAGAATGACGTTTTTTCTGTACATTTCAACATGCAGGGTCTCATCAGCCTCAGGTTTTCATTGAGAATCAACCCTGTTAAGAAATGACTGAAATGATTTCAACTGTTCGAGCAAACATCCTGCTGTTTTACAGGAGGAAGGAGCTGTCTCGTTACTCTACAATTTAAAACGTTTAAAGCACATTTAATCCAGGAAGAGCTGGAGAGCATCATGTTGTCAAAGGAAGAAACTGAAAATAAAGCAGAGAAGTTGTATTTAATTATACATTGAGCAGAAATCCAAATTTCAGTGTTCAACGAAAACAACAATTACAGTGTCCCAGTAGTTACTCCACTGAGTTTACTGTAAATGGCATGAACAATTTGCAAACAGTGTGATCACAACAAATCTACAAACTGTGATACTCCTGCTCTTGTAGCTCAGCAGAGCAGCTTCCTGCTGAGAGCAGCTCTGCTCTCGGTGCTGCTGTGCGGCCCGTGGCGTGCAGCGTCAGACTCGGACGAGGCGGTCCCGACCAAGTGGGAGATCTGGAAGAACAGCCATGGCATCAATCACGAAGAGATGGTGAGACTGACTCCATCCCCACCAACAACAGGTGTGTGTGTGTGCGTGAGTTTGTCTTGATGTTGTTTGGTGTCGTCCTGCAGGACGACATGGAGAGGAGGGCCATCTGGGAGGAGAACATGCGGATGATTGAAGACAATAATCAAGGGTTTTTTATGGGGATGAGGCCGTTCACTATGGCCATGAATAAATATGGAGACCTGGTAAGGACTGGCATTTCCCTCACTGTGTTTGTAAAAGCATCTGCTCACAATCACAAACCAAAGTAAAAACTGTTTCTCACTATTTAATTATGTATGTTCTTTGTTTAATCTGTATGAACAGAGCCAGACCAGCTGTTCCCCTGTTTCCAGGTTCTGTCTATTCCCTGGGGAATACAATGAGCATGTTTTATTCATAGTATATCACTGTAGCTCATTTATGTCTGTAGACCATAATACATTAAAAAATGTGAATTATTAATATTTTCAGTGATTTGAAAACATACAAGCACAAAAATTAGTCCTGACAGAATCACTTTACATGTAATTTGAGTTTATCATACTCTTATTTCTTATATTTTTCTGCTGTATTTGTGTGTAAGTAGTGAAACAATATTTTTTACAACCCTGAACTATAATGTAATGATATTTTGAGTGCTTACCACTAAACATTTGTACATTTTTATAGGTGCTTATGTCATTTTTCAAGTATTTTTGGGGGGTTGTTGCCAGCTGTACACTCAAATTAACCAAATGAGAAGACAAACTGAAAGAAAAAATAAAACATCACCTTATCATGTGGGTGAGGACAATTTAAAAGGTGTTAACAAAGATGAAAATGAATGTATAGAAAGTCAAAGTCAACCTGGACTCCATTAAGCTGCTGGCTGTAGCTGCGTATCGACATCAGAGTGGTATCAATCTGTGGGGACACGTTGTGTTGATTAACGGATTCAACAGAATGTGAATCGTTGCAAAACAATCTCCGTTATGTTCTCTGTTCATAGACCAGACAAGAGTACCGGGTTTTGCAAGGTGCCATCATAGACACCCAGTTTGTAAAGAGAGGGAGGACCGTCTCTGCCCGGAGGCTGCGTGACAATGCCAGGAAGTTAGATGCCTGGTTTGTCGACTACAGGAACCTGGGTTATGTCACTGAGGTGAAAGACCAGGTAAGAACTTCCCACATTCACTTGAGTGTGTTTTATTCAGGCTGAATCGTGACCACCTTCAAGTCACTGTTTTAACTGTTCTTCACAGGGTTACTGTGGCTCATGCTGGGCCTTCAGCACTACAGGAGCTATCGAGGGACAAATATACAAGAGGACAGGTCAGCTCGTGTCCTTGAGTGAGCAGAACTTGGTGGACTGCTCGAGGGCGTACGGTACCTACGGCTGCAGCGGAGCCTGGATGGCCAACGCCTACGACTATGTGGTGAACAACGGGCTGCAGTCGACAAGCACCTACCCTTACACATCAGTGGTGAGGCTGCTGGCTCCGCCCCCATCAGAGCAGTTAAATCAGTCCGTTTCCAGCATGCTCTTAACACTTACTCCTGATTTTCTCTGAACAGGACACCCAGCCCTGTTACTACGACAGCAGACTCGCAGCCGCTCATATCAAAGACTACAGGTTCATACCCAAAGGGGATGAGCAGGCTCTGGCTGACGCCGTGGCAACCATTGGTCCAATCACAGTAGCCATTGATGCAGATCACTCAAGCTTTCTGTTCTACAGCTCAGGTTAAAAATATTCCCACCACACAATTATCATGTCAGCGATGAAAAGAAGGTTATCTAATATTTATAGCAGCTATAACCAATACTTTTATATTAACAAGGGGTCAATGCATCTATATAGAAGGTGTTGCTCAGAGTGACATCACCCACCTCTGCAGACTCCACCAGTTGATTTGGTGTGTTGGTTCGCAGTCTTACTGTACAGGTTGGACATTTTACTCATGAGTAGAGGTGGAGAGCAAACCAGCGCTAAAAGGCAAGAAGGTTCATGTGGCCAGAAACATGATAAAAGAAAGAGAGAAGAAAGATCATGTTTCTGTGTAACAACTGTTCTTTTACAGCTAGTCTCTACTGCCCCTAAGGGACTTTAAGAAATCACTTAATACAGGTTCATATTTAATTTACAGGAATATACGATGAGCCCAACTGTAACCCCAACAACCTGAGTCACGCGGTGCTGCTGGTTGGCTACGGCTCTGAAGGAGGCCAAGACTACTGGATCATCAAAAACAGGTCAGAATGACTCTGGATAAGTGATCAAACATTACATTTTCTATTATATGTAATGTGCAAGTGTTTCTTGTTTTAATATGAATTTTTGCCCTTTTGTTTATAGTTGGGGATCCAGTTGGGGCGAAGGCGGCTACATGCGAATGGTCCGGGATGGCAGAAACACTTGTGGCATTGCAAGCTACGCCCTGTACCCTATCCTATGATTCTGCTAAGATGCTTCAGGGTCGAGTGTTAATACTAAGTTCCTCCTCTGGTCTGTCAGTGGAACAACATCATCATTTCTCCTACATATCATCTCTAGAGTCCCGTCATACATCTCCTCTAAAGCTTCTGCTGAACCTTTCTGACACTGAAGATGTTTTGTGGAAGATCCCACATCAGTCTTTTACAGTGAGCTCACTTCTTCTCTCAGGGACGTGGTACACACAGGATTCAATTAGCCTTTGAAATGTTTTTTTAATAAGTCAAACTCACCAAATATGGAAAATGCTATCTAAGAGTTTATAAAATCAAAACTCTTGACTTTTGACTTTTGACAGCAAAAACTTTGTTACAGTAGCTTAGTCTTACATTAGTCTTAGCATTATAAAGGTTGTTTTGTTTTTTGTCAAGTTTAAAGAACCAGTCTGTGGGATTTAGTGGCATCTAGTGGTGAGGTTGCAGATTGCAACCAATTGAATCCAGTGTGGAGGACCTTCAGGTAACGTAACAACACAAAAGGCTCAATAGAGCCAGTGTTTGATTTGTCTCTGGGTTAATGTAGAAACATGACAGTGTGACATGGCAAGCTCCATAGAAGGGGACCTGCTTCTTTATTTTTTCCCCACCTAAGGGTTAGGTTAAGTTAGGTTAGGGCCCCTGACTCTGACTGGCTAGTACTCGGTTAGTTTTAGGCATGAAGAAAAAGGAGGAATATCAGGCAACCAAAGGCATGGTAGAGACAGGCCTTTGCCCACTCCTTCTTTAGATATGAAGGGCTAATTCTAAGCTAACATAAACACAGAGATTTGTTGTTTCAGGTGATGATACACTAATGAAAACATAATTATGAATATTGTATTCCATTTCTGCCAATGGATGCCCCTAAATCCTACACTGGTCCTTTAACTTTAGTAAACTTTGAGATGTGGGTTTGCCTAGTTAGCCTATAGCTAGCTGAGCCATGGTTTGCTTACAGCTACAGAGTCAATGGTACAAACTGGATGTGAATTTTCTTCTTTGCTGCAAAACTCTTCAATAGAAGTCTTCACTGAATGAAATGAATAATCCTGAGAACAAAAATGCCACTGGGCAGTGAAAGGCACAGTACAGAAGAAATAGAAAGAGGTCCTTCAACTATTGTCACGCACCAGTGCTGCCATATTCCTGACTGGATAGGTTGTCAGCAGTTAACTCACCAAGTTTCCATAAACAAATATTTGATGTGATGACATGCAGGGTGCGAAATATTCATGCCTGGAAGAATTTTGTGATATGATTTCAGACACCCCTAAAATGGACCGTACCATTTCTTAAGGTCTAGTTTACCTGCCTCACTCCATCAGTGGAGCTGCCCTAACGTCTCTGCCCCATGGATATATAATACATCCATGCTCTGCCCCCACGTCACTCAAGCTAATCGAGTCAATTGAGACGCTGTAGGTAAATGTACGTAGCAGTAGCTTTCTATCTAGCTTGTTCAATACACGTTATAGTCTTACACTGTAAAAAAATTCCTAATTTTAAAGAAAATAACTGAGAATTTTACAGTAATTTTCTGTTTTTTAAAATTGTGTACAAAAGTTTGTAAAATTACAGAAATTATCTGTGAATTAACAAACTTCTATTTCAAGCATTATGCCAATAACAATGAATTACATTTATTTCCCATTTTTGTGAAGAAAAATTATTGTTTTATTTATACTGTATTTTTTCTGCTTTCTTCAATTAAATACAAATCTATGTAAAATGACAGAAATTATCTGTAATTAAAAATGTAGCTTGTTATTATAAAAGTTAATGTCCATATGAACAATTTAAAGATCTTCTCTGTAATTTCAGGTGAATCTTATTAGTTTTACATTTATGTGACTTCTACATTCAAACTTTGTGATTCTGGATGGAAATGTAACTTTTTTCATCACATCAAACTTCAAACAAAAAAGTTTGAAGTACTGGAATGTATCCCAGCATGCACTGGGAGGAAAGCAGGAAAATGGTTTATCACACAACAACAACAACAACAACAACAACACACTCACACACACACACTCACACACACACACACATTCAGACCTATGGACAACTTAGAGTCCTCAGTGAATTAAATGTGCATGTCTTTGTTCTAGTAATCAGAGTCCTGGAGGAAACACAAGGAGAACATGCAACACTACAAGAAAGAACCAGGGTTGAAGCTGAACCCAGGAGCTTCTTGCTGTTCTCTTCCTGCCTGGACTTTACTAGTCTGTGTGTTTGTGCACCATTTACCATAAAAGAAAACATCTTTTCAATGACAATTAAGTTCTGAATAAAACTAATGAACATGAGCTGTACTACACTGACAACTGCTTCACAATCTGAACTGTCAGTTTTCAGTTCACACTAAAGAGTGTGTGAGGTGAACACATCCGTCTGTTACTTTCAGTTTCATTCATGTCATAGAGATTCATCCTGACACTGACCTCAGTCACTGCAGCTGTCCCTCAAAAAGCCTTTTGAAGCTGTGACGACTGAACACAATAACCTCACACTGATGGTTTCAAACAAATGTGTCCCCACAACCACAGCAAGACATGTACACACACACACACACACACACACACACACACACGTGCATGCACTTAGAGAAGTTGATCTGCAATGAAGCTATACCACTATATCCCCATATAGACGATCGCTTCAAAGATCGAACGTTTATGACCTTCCTTACCTCTTACCTTTTTGAGACTCTTGTTTTGAAAGTGTCTGTGCTTCTGTGTTAGGCAGTATAAATTGTATAAGGTTTTGTACAACAGAGCCAATAATTCCCTCTTACCATGTTCAGACTTTTACTTTGAAGGTAATCCAAATCATGGACCACGTGGCCACCGGGTGAAGACGCAGAGCTGGTTGCAAACGGCCTCCAGCAGGCGGCTAACACTGGCCCAGTTTGCAGGGCCCGAGTTCAGTCCAAGAAGACAGCTGAAAGATAATCAGAGAGCAGTGTGTGTGAATATAGATCTGATATTCATTAGAGGAAACAGTGATATCTGAAGTGACTCTCACCTCTGGAGACTCTCCTTCCCAGGACAGGAGGTGTTCTTCCCCGTCGCTGCCTTGAACTGTCACCTGGGCTGCCTCTCCTGGTCTCTGGGAGGGAAGACAACTCGCTCTTCCTCCTGCTCTGTCTGGCAGGTGTTGCCAGGAGCTTGGAAGTACTTGGCACTGGCTTGAGGAAAAAGGTTTTGGATCAAAAATGAATTTTATTTTTGCATGAAACGATAATACACATTATACTTAATCACAAGCTCTGAGACACACGCATGTACCTGGGATGAACTGGTTAAGGTGGAAACCAGAAGGCTGACCCCGCAATCAGCAATCTATTGGTAGCTGCTAATGCTAGCAAGTAAGCCCCGCCCCTCTGTTCTATCTGATAAATTAATTAAATCTGAGCCTGGAGGTCTTAAGTGTTTTTCAGGCCTCCACAGTTGTGGTTTATTTTCAATGCAAGTACATTTTTCAGTTTTGTCTGATCATCATAAATACATTTAATATCAGTTACTTACTGGATCAAGTGAAGTGTTTTAACAGACTGATAATAAAGTGATAACCATTTTCTTCTAAGTGTTTCTTGTTGCATGCCGCACTTTATGTCTGCAAGAGCAACCACACCTCATTGAACTTTGAACCCTCCTGCATGAAAGCCTATACTCCTTTACGTTAGCTGTTTCTCACAGTCCAGCTTTTCTTCATGTGTCTCATATAAAAAGCTCCAAGGTTCACCTGCTACAAGGTTTACCTGAGGTGGAGGAAAGGCAGAGGCTTTGTGTTGCTGCTAGACTCAAACGGGTCACTGAATAACTTATAATGCACTGGAACAGATCTGTACTTTGGGCTGTAGTGTGGTTGGCTTTGCTTTGCTTTGCTGTGGTTTGCCCCTCTGCTCAGAAACAGCCAAAGTGTTGGAGTGAGAGACAAACGGCGATCCGTCAGAAGACACACATCACGAAAAAGTTGTGTGATCCTTCCTTCAGCAACCAACCAGCAGGTGCTGTTACTCAGGTAATGCAGCTCTGTTGTTCATAGAGCTTTTTGTATCTTTGTTACTTTTTCTCATTTAGATGATGTTGGTGCAAAACAAGGTCAAGAAATCATTCAGATTGAATTTTTTATTCTGATAAGAGATCATATCATCTATAGCAAACCCCACATTCACCATCAGACATGCATTTCATTCTACCACAGGTATAAAAAAGCTCAACCTTACATGCTCGAACTTTCATCCTGCTACATAATGGCCTTGAACTGTACATGCCACTTTATGCAACTATACCCGTTTATATCTCTATGCCTGACCTTGATTACTTTGTGATAACAGATTCCTCCTGACCATAGGAGTTCTGGTGAGGTGTTAGCTTGTGTTAACTCTCTGTGTCCGTACAGAAGTGCAGCTCTGGCTTCTACAGAGAATGGACTGGACCGTACAGGGGTCAGTGTGTGCCCTGCAGCTGCAACGGACTCTCCAATGAGTGTGATGAGCATACAGGGAACTGTGTGGTTGGTGGTCACTCANTTGAATCCAGTGTGGAGGACCTTCAGGTAACGTAACAACACAAAAGGCTCAATAGAGCCAGTGTTTGATTTGTCTCTGGGTTAATGTAGAAACATGACAGTGTGACATGGCAAGCTCCATAGAAGGGGACCTGCTTCTTTATTTTTTCCCCACCTAAGGGTTAGGTTAAGTTAGGTTAGGGCCCCTGACTCTGACTGGCTAGTACTCGGTTAGTTTTAGGCATGAAGAAAAAGGAGGAATATCAGGCAACCAAAGGCATGGTAGAGACAGGTCTTTGCCCACTCCTTCTTTAGATATGAAGGGCTAATTCTAAGCTAACATAAACACAGAGATTGTTTGTTTCAGGTGATGATACACTAATGAAAACATAATTATGAATATTGTATTCCATTTCTGCCAATGGATGCCCCTAAATCCTACACTGGTCCTTTAACTTTAGTAAACTTTGAGATGTGGGTTTGCCTAGTTAGCCTATAGCTAGCTGAGCCATGGTTTGCTTACAGCTACAGAGTCAATGGTACAAACTGGATGTGAATTTTCTTCTTTGCTGCAAAACTCTTCAATAGAAGTCTTCACTGAATGAAATGAATAATCCTGAGAACAAAAATGCCACTGGGCAGTGAAAGGCACAGTACAGAAGAAATAGAAAGAGGTCCTTCAACTATTGTCACGCACCAGTGCTGCCATATTCCTGACTGGATAGGTTGTCAGCAGTTAACTCACCAAGTTTCCATAAACAAATATTTGATGTGATGACATGCAGGGTGCGAAATATTCATGCCTGGAAGAATTTTGTGATATGATTTCAGACACCCCTAAAATGGACCGTACCATTTCTTAAGGTCTAGTTTACCTGCCTCACTCCATCAGTGGAGCTGCCCTAACGTCTCTGCCCCATGGATATATAATACATCCATGCTCTGCCCCCACGTCACTCAAGCTAATCGAGTCAATTGAGACGCTGTAGGTAAATGTACGTAGCAGTAGCTTTCTATCTAGCTTGTTCAATACACGTTATAGTCTTACACTGTAAAAAAATTCCTAATTTTAAAGAAAATAACTGAGAATTTTACAGTAATTTTCTGTTTTTTAAAATTGTGTACAAAAGTTTGTAAAATTACAGAAATTATCTGTGAATTAACAAACTTCTATTTCAAGCATTATGCCAATAACAATGAATTACATTTATTTCCCATTTTTGTGAAGAAAAATTATTGTTTTATTTATACTGTATTTTTTCTGCTTTCTTCAATTAAATACAAATCTATGTAAAATGACAGAAATTATCTGTAATTAAAAATGTAGCTTGTTATTATAAAAGTTAATGTCCATATGAACAATTTAAAGATCTTCTCTGTAATTTCAGGTGAATCTTATTAGTTTTACATTTATGTGACTTCTACATTCAAACTTTGTGATTCTGGATGAAATGTAACTTTTTTCATCACATCAAACTTCAAACAAAAAAGTTTGAAGTACTGGAATGTATCCCAGCATGCACTGGGAGGAAAGCAGGAAAATGGTTTATCACACAACAACAACAACAACAACAACAACACACTCACACACACACACTCACACACACACACACATTCAGACCTATGGACAACTTAGAGTCCTCAGTGAATTAAATGTGCATGTCTTTGTTCTAGTAATCAGAGTCCTGGAGGAAACACAAGGAGAACATGCAACACTACAAGAAAGAACCAGGGTTGAAGCTGAACCCAGGAGCTTCTTGCTGTTCTCTTCCTGCCTGGACTTTACTAGTCTGTGTGTTTGTGCACCATTTACCATAAAAGAAAACATCTTTTCAATGACAATTAAGTTCTGAATAAAACTAATGTACATGAGCTGTACTACACTGACAACTGCTTCACAATCTGAACTGTCAGTTTTCAGTTCACACTAAAGAGTGTGTGAGGTGAACACATCCGTCTGTTACTTTCAGTTTCATTCATGTCATAGAGATTCATCCTGACACTGACCTCAGTCACTGCAGCTGTCCCTCAAAAAGCCTTTTGAAGCTGTGACGACTGAACACAATAACCTCACACTGATGGTTTCAAACAAATGTGTCCCCACAACCACAGCAAGACATGTATACACACACACACACACACACACACACACACACGCACACACACACGTGCATGCACTTAGAGAAGTTGATCTGCAATGAAGCTATACCACTATATCCCCATATAGACGATCGCTTCAAAGATCGAACGTTTATGACCTACCTTACCTCTTACCTTTTTGAGACTCTTGTTTTGAAAGTGTCTGTGCTTCTGTGTTAGGCAGTATAAATTGTATAAGGTTTTGTACAACAGAGCCAATAATTCCCTCTTACCATGTTCAGACTTTTACTTTGAAGGTAATCCAAATCATGGACCACGTGGCCACCGGGTGAAGACGCAGAGCTGGTTGCAAACGGCCTCCAGCAGGCGGCTAACACTGGCCCAGTTTGCAGGGCCCGAGTTCAGTCCAAGAAGACAGCTGAAAGATAATCAGAGAGCAGTGTGTGTGAATATAGATCTGATATTCATTAGAGGAAACAGTGATATCTGAAGTGACTCTCACCTCTGGAGACTCTCCTTCCCAGGACAGGAGGTGTTCTTCCCCGTCGCTGCCTTGAACTGTCACCTGGGCTGCCTCTCCTGGTCTCTGGGAGGGAAGACAACTCGCTCTTCCTCCTGCTCTGTCTGGCAGGTGTTGCCAGGAGCTTGGAAGTACTTGGCACTGGCTTGAGGAAAAAGGTTTTGGATCAAAAATGAATTTTATTTTTGCATGAAATGATAATACACATTATACTTAATCACAAGATATGAGACACACGCATGTACCTGGGATGAACTGGTTAAGGTGGAAACCAGAAGGCTGACCCCGCAATCAGCAATCTATTGGTAGCTGCTAATGCTAGCAAGTAAGCCCCGCCCCTCTGTTCTATCTGATAAATTAATTAAATCTGAGCCTGGAGGTCTTAAGTGTTTTTCAGGACTCCACAGTTGTGGTTTATTTTCAATGCAAGTACATTTTTCAGTTTTGTCTGATCATCATAAATACATTTAATATCAGTTACTTACTGGATCAAGTGAAGTGTTTTAACAGACTGATAATAAAGTGATAACCATTTTCTTCTAAGTGTTTCTTGTTGCATGCCGCACTTTATGTCTGCAAGAGCAACCACACCTCATTGAACTTTGAACCCTCCTGCATGAAAGCCTATACTCCTTTACGTTAGCTGTTTCTCACAGTCCAGCTTTTCTTCATGTGTCTCATATAAAAAGCTCCAAGGTTCACCTGCTACAAGGTTTACCTGAGGTGGAGGAAAGGCAGAGGCTTTGTGTTGCTGCTAGACTCAAACGGGTCACTGAATAACTTATAATGCACTGGAACAGATCTGTACTTTGGGCTGTAGTGTGGTCGGCTTTGCTTTGCTTTGCTGTGGTTTGCCCCTCTGCTCAGAAACAGCCAAAGTGTTGGAGTGAGAGACAAACTGCGATCCGTCAGAAGACACACATCACGAAAAAGTTGTGTGATCCTTCCTTCAGCAACCAACCAGCAGGTGCTGTTACTCAGGTAATGCAGCTCTGTTGTTCATAGAGCTTTTTGTATCTTTGTTACTTTTTCTCATTTAGATGATGTTGGTGCAAAACAAGGTCAAGAAATCATTCAGATTGAATTTTTTATTCTGATAAGAGATCATATCATCTATAGCAAACCCCACATTCACCATCAGACATGCATTTCATTCTACCACAGGTATAAAAAAGCTCAACCTTACATGCTCGAACTTTCATCCTGCTACATAATGGCCTTGAACTGTACATGCCACTTTATGCAACTATACCCGTTTATATCTCTATGCCTGACCTTGATTACTTTGTGATAACAGATTCCTCCTGACCATAGGAGTTCTGGTGAGGTGTTAGCTTGTGTTAACTCTCTGTGTCCGTACAGAAGTGCAGCTCTGGCTTCTACAGAGAATGGACTGGACCGTACAGGGGTCAGTGTGTGCCCTGCAGCTGCAACGGACTCTCCAATGAGTGTGATGAGCATACAGGGAACTGTGTGGTTGGTGGTCACTCACACACACTCACACACACTCACACACACTCACACTCACTCACACACACACACACACACACACAAAGACAGTGGCACATGTTCATTTGTTGATTGACAGCAAGTTGTGGCATGTTGTTCGTGTTGTGTCTCATCCAACTAACCTCCAGAACTGTCAGTTCAACACCATTGGTGACAGCTGTGAGCGGTGTGAAGTGGGTTACCATGGAAACGCAGCCAACAGGACCTGCCGTGCCTGTCCGTGTCCCTTCACATGGAACAAGTCAGTCTCTTCTTATTAACAGCTCTGATGATCTTTCTACTGGATCAGTTTGAACATCTTATTTGTTCTTTCTCAGTTTCGCTCTGGCCTGTCTGGACGTCGGCTCAGGAGAAGTTGACTGCTTGTGTAAACGTGGTTACACTGGAGACAGATGTGAGAGGTTTGTTTGCAGCTCAGTGAGTGACACACACAACCAACCATGTACATTATTTACATTTCAGCATTATTGTCATCAGGTGCATCCTTATCCCTGTTGTCCACTGCTCAGCGACACACATTATTTTAGTAAGTAGGTCTGTCACTAAAAGTACAAAAGTTTAAAAGCAGCTTTTTCCCTCTCATTTGTCCTCTCTTTAAGATGTGCACACGGTTACTGCGGCAACCCAATGGTGCAGGGAGGCAGCTGCAAGCCCTGCAACTGGAGGGACAGCATGTGTGACTCTCTAAATGCAGGTAAATATACATTTATAGTAACTATGTGTTAAAGGGGTAAGTGATTTAATATTGCATTAGAGATATCCTGTGTTTCATCCTCTCCTTGTATTTACTGACAGATTGTGACAGCTGCTCCTATTCTTTACTGGTGGACTTGGACAAGATGGACAATGATCTGGCTTGGCTGACGCAGCAGCTGCAGAGCATCAGTCTTGACTCTGGTTCACACACACTGAACAACCGGGAGGTTAACGTCTATGAATCCAAGGTACATACATTTTCCATAAAGACCTTGGCAAAAAATTAAAAAAAAATCACAATTCCTGTTATATTTATATCACATGACACTGTTTCTTTCTGCTCACCTCTGCTGTTTTCCAGATCCTGGTTGAGAGCTACAGCGCTGCTGTGAGACGCCTGGACCCAAAGGTCAAACAGCTGGAAGAAGATGTGAATGTTGTTGGAGAGGACTTGAGTCACCTGATTGACGAGGTGATTTTTCCTCAGCTAATCAAAGTGAAAGTCAAACAGGAGTTTAGGAGGATAATTACAGCTTTTAATAAACAGTTTAACGAATGTAAATTATTGTTTGAATCATGAGAAACCATGAAACTCTTTCATGAAGAATCTGTCTTCTTTCTCTGTAAACAGTGAACAGAAACGTATCTGGAAACACATGACAAGTCTTGATGCTGTTTTCATTAAATTTCCAGATTCTTCAAACTGAATCACATCTGGAGAAGGTTTTGCAGAATGTGAATGGAGCTATATTGGAGGCAGATGATGAAGCTGCATTTCTCTTCACAGTAATACCAGGTACATCGTTCAAATATGACTGTATGTGTTCGCATTGTCTGAAGGTGATGTCACATCTCACATTAACGGATTTCATAAAAACTCGTAGCATTGAGCAGTTTTCCTAAACTCTGGTCAGTAACGTCAGACTTTGTGGGACTTGTTCAGGAAACTGAATGAATAGTTCTGTCAACAGTGAGTCTCTTACTGTCGGTTTGTCAGATTTGATAAAGCAGCTGTCCGAGGTGAAACCCGGAGGAGCCATCACTCTCTCAGAGAACGACAAAGTCAGGATGATGGAGGAGGCTCAGCGCATCGTGCAGGAATTGAGAGAGAGAGGCTGCACTGCTCAGAGAGCCAGCGAGCTGGAGGAGGCACGCAACTGTGAGAAGTTTTTCATTTATGTCTTGGTTTGTCTCTGGTGTAAAGACTGTGTTCAGTTCATGGATAAAAAGGTGCAGAGGCGGGTCACGCTGCTGTTTGGCTCCTCGTCCGAACATGAACCGAAATTCAGTTCACAAACAATTATATTCTGCAACTTTTGAAGCTGCGACCGCCGTAACTAATACATATGCTTTGTTTTTCTTTGTTTTGCTTCTCGTCTCGGTTTGATGAACAAAAACAACAAAACTAAAGCTGATCTGGAAGCGTAAGATTTTCAACCTTCCCACCAAAAGTGAAATGCAGGAAAATAACAATATTTTAAAAAGACATTTTGGGACATTCTCTTTAATGATTTCTTGTCAAGAGTTCGATGAGATGATGGATACCACTGTCATGTCTGGACGGTACATATGAAACTACAGCCTGCAGCTAGTTAGCTTAGCAGAAAGACTGCAAACATAAATATCTATGGCTCTGTTTAATGGTAAATAAATCCACCTACTATCAACCGGGGGTCTGACATCCTGTCGTCACCATGAGGTTGCAAGGCAATCAGCAGAGGCTCTAGGAAGAAGATATAATGTTTATTAGTGAGTTTTAACCAAGTCTTCTGTTCTTCCATTCCTTTAAGAATACATTAAAGAAATAGAAGAAAAAAGGAACCTCTGACAATATTGATATCCAATAATTACTGGAGTGACTATTTGTCTTCAAACTAATTCAAATGCAACATGAAATCAAGAGGCCACTGATGCACCATGGGATGAAGATTACTCAGGCAAAAGAATCCACTGTCCAAACAAAGCCATCGTGTTTGTCTTTTGATTTATTCATTCAAACAAGCAGCGAACAGAAGAACAAAGGGCCCAGGTGCATGCTGGTCCTAAACCTGCCTGCCTTCCTAATTAACCTCAGATACCCAAAGAGATAAAAATAATAACTATGCAAAAGAAGCAAATAATATAAATAAACAAACAAACAAAAGAGAAGACAATCAAAAATAAGACAAATTAATTAAACAAGTAACTGGCTCCAATCTGCACTTTCTCCTCAGTGTTGAACCTAATCAGGGACAACATGACAGTTCCTGTGGAAACCGTCCCGGCTGTCCTGAGCCAGACCTCAGACTCTCTGATGTCCTCGGACTCCTCCCTGAGAGAACTGGCCGAGCTGCTGTCAGAGGCAGAGGACAGAGTCTACAGGACACAGGGCCTCAACCTGAAGAGTCACACCTCCCTACAGCATCTGCAGGTGAGGTGAAACACAGCTCTTTTAATTTAGGATAAACACAAGAAACTTGTGCTGTAAAAACTGGACCAGACTCAGTGAATAACTCCCTAAGCCCTATGATAACTATTAATTCAGCTACACAGACTAATGAGCAGTGATAACTAACATGTCTTTGGGGTCATCAGGTGGGAACCTCCTTTCACCAGTGTTTCGTCTAGTTGGTCCCACGACACCTCCAGGAGGCTAGACAGTGATCACTGGCGTCCCAGAGTCACTCCCCTAATGCCAGCCATCACTGCTCCTCACACCACAACTATTTTCTCCTTTACCTTGCCTATGCTACCACACACAACATCATCAACTAGGACAAAACACACCAGCAGATTCAGCAAACAAACTCCCCTAACCAGTTGGAGAAAATGGCGGCCATTTTGAATGAGGGAGGTAGAGTCAGGGAGAGGTGCCTGTTTGGGCTAGCTCTCCCCCGCCGGGTTAGGCTGTGCTCTACCTCCCCCTACTCCCCCACTCTCCAACAACTCACCTAAAACAAACAAACTCGCCTAGACAGTCAGAGACACACCACAGACCAATTCAGAGCAATACAAACAAACCAACTCACCTGAACTAACCGCATGGTCTCAAAGAGGCTCACACAGGCCACACCCCCCACTTAAAAACACTTCCTCTTCCTGGATTTTCTTCCTTGCTTCTCCTAAGAGTCTGTCTATCCTAAGTGCTCCCCCTGCTGGGCCCCCAGCTACCATTACTTCTTCTCATCCAAATCCACTGACTGGATCTTGCTGCCTCATCTGACATGTCTTTTACTAAATGTGTCGTATCAAACCCATGTCTTCAACTGTCTTTGTTCATCATCCTCCAGCATCTTCAAACTCAGATGGAGAGAGAGCGACACACGCTCCTTCCTGTGACTGTAATGACAAAAGATCTGTTGAAAAATATCACCGACACCTTCTTAATGCTGGAGGAGATTAAAGAAGTAAGCTGGCGTCTTTCACCACCACGACTCCACGGGACGAGTTTTGAAACCGCGCAAACTGAGTTTCCTGTGTGTGAATTGCAGGAGTTTGGGAATCATGCAGCTCCAGTAGATGGCGCCAGACGGGAACTCTTCAAGAAGCTTAACATCATCCTCCACATTAGGGCCAAAGTGGATGTAGTAACCAAGGCTGAGGAGCGTGCAGAGCAGCTTCACAGAGCTGCAGCAGGACTTCAACAGTGAGTTTAAAGATAGAAAGAACGGGGACACATGTTATTTTGTGTTTATGTTGACATTAATACACCATCGTGTGTGTCGCAGAGCGCGTCATGATGCTACCAACAGCACTGAGCGGCTCCGCGTGCCGCATCAAGGAGCTTATAACAACATCATCAGTGTCATAGATGAGTCGGAGATGGCAGCAGATCAGTCCAGAGAGGCTGCTGATCGAGCCTTAAAGGTAACTCAGGTGATATTAATCATGCTCGATGAACACCTAAATGGTACAGGTGCATGTAGTATAAAGGTAGATGTCCCGATGAAGCCCCGCCCACCTGGACCAGGCGTCCAACTTTACAGGATCTGAGTTTTACCTGAAATCTGCCTGAGAGAGGAGATGTAAAACTACACTGAGATGGTTTTTCTTTCTTAAAACAACAGATATAAATCTTCTTATGGATCAACACTTCAAATAAAACACCAGTGTAAAATATGGAAAGTTTAAGTCAATGATGTTCATCAAAAATAATGATATGATTGTCTTCCTGTTAATTAGGATGTGAAGGAGGGAGGTGACGTCAACAGGGCTGAAGGACTCAAAGATAATTCAACTCATGTACAAGCAGAAGCCAACAGCACTCAGAAGGACCTGGAAAGTGTGTAAAAAAAAAACATCACTTATAACAAGCCACATAGAATTATATTAATTTTGAAAAGATTAAATGCTTTTCCATTTTCTTTTGAACAGCGCTTTCACATACAGTGAACACCAACAAAGGACACGTCAAGGAGCAGAAGGGAAAAAGAGAAATGCTGAGAACGGTCATCTCAGCCGTCAGTGATCACCTCAAAACCATCAGAGGAGGTCGGTGGGTCACTCAAAATCTGCTGCACAGGAGACAAGAAATATCAGGTTATGCAGAGTACCTACAAACACAGCAGGTCATCTTGGTGTTTTGATTTCAGACGACACAAAAGTCCTGATAGAGTCTGTGAAAACAGCTGCCACTGCGTCGAACTCCACCGTCAGAAACACAACAGAGAGACTGAGGAACATCAGCCAGGAAGTGGAAAGAATAACGTTGCCCAATGTCATTGTGAATATGGAGGATAAGTTGACTGATGCAGAACGGGCATGTGAGTATTCAATGGTACGAATGTGTCCTTAAAATATAACATTACATCATTTTACCCATCTTTTTTTTTTTTTTTTGATATTTGTTTGGTTTGTTTTCTGTGTTTCAGTGGAGAACTTGAACGCATCTCTTCCCGTGTTGTCAAACACCCTCACTGAAGTTGAGGCTCTCATCAGGAAGGCGCCACCTAGTGCCAACATGACAGAAAGCATCAGGAGAATCAAGGACTTGATAGAGGAGACGAGAAACTTTGTCAACAGGGTAAGACACTGCTTTTAATTTGTTGTTTCTTACCTGTCAGCTTTGATTTAAAGAAGCTATAATCAATACTTTTTGGCGACGACTGAGCAGCTTTTATAGTTAAGAAAAGCTGTGTGTTTGTGTGAGTGTCTGAATGTGACTAAAGGACAAATCTAATGTCTCACTGTTCCCTTAAATTGGCATCTTGTCTTCTCCAAAACAGAGGGACGTGTGGCCAAAAGGACATTTTGTGAAAAAAAAACAAGCTAGCTTAACTTGTTAGCTTTGATTTGACAGCTAACATGTGATACATGCTAAATACACTTAAAAGGTTAGAATTACTTCCGTCAAATACTTGGCTGTGGTGGAAATAACGGTGATACTGTGTGACCGCTATATTTTGTGTCAAAATTAATGTTGACAACCGTCTCACAACAAAACCTAAAATGTGTTTTGATTATTTGAGTATGATTTTATTCAGGTACCGTAAAAGTTTTCAGATAAACAATATTTTTAAACTTTAATTGTTAAAACCTTGTAAGTCTGAATGTGGGACAAGAGTAAAACGGTGACATTGAAGCTGATAATGGACAGATGGTAAAACCACGTTTTTAAGTTGGTTTTATTGTTACTCAACTTACTTTAAATCACTTAATTTGACCAAATGACATGAAAGCCCTTGTCATCTGATCCTCTTACAGCTCTCCGTTGCCACCACTTTCAGCGGAAAAGGTCATGTTGAGCTTCGTCCTCCGGGGAACCTGGAGGACGTTAAAGCGTTTACAGCCGTCGATCTGCTTCTCAATCACCGTGGAAACAGTCCCTCCAAAGCCGACCGCAGACGAAGGCGACGGCAACACAAACACAGAGATGTCGACCTCTTCGTTTTCTACTTGGGCAACAAGGACGTGAGTCTGCCTCCTTCGTATATACAGAGAATCATACAGTCCTGTTTAGATTTCTGTTGTTGATGTCTGTCATTGCTCTTTAATTTCCAGGCGTCCGGAGACTACATTGGGATGGCGATCAGACACAGTGTGTTGATTTGTGTCTACAAGTTGGGTGGAGTCGTCCATCAGGTGGAAACCAGCCAAATAACAACAACCACCAATGTGAACTCGTCAGACTTTGACAGGGTCATCTTTCACAGGTGAGCATGACTCTCTGAGGGGAATGTACTGCAACAGGTGTAATCACCATGTTGATTATCTCCATGTTGACAACTCCTGCAGAGTTTACCAAGACGCCGAAGTGAACATCACGAAGAACTTCACATCGCAGAAGCCCGTCAGTCTCGCTCCTAATCATAACCTTCCAAACACCACGACCGGCGTCCTCGACCTGGATGTAAACAGTGTTGTTGTCTACGTGGGCGGCTATCCTGACGACTTCACGGTAACCTGCTTGTTCTTTACCAAATCTCAGATATACAACATCCAAAACCCCAAATCCTGACCCCCACCAAGACAAGAACAAACGATGAAAATATGAACATTTTAACGTATTATCTCATAATTTTGATATCATAACTCAAACTCCAAATGTTTGTGACTTCCTAAATCTAAATTCTTAATTACTATTAATCATAAGTTTGATCTCATCTCATTATTTTAATTTGTTTTAAAATGTTTTAAAATTTTAATTTAGGGTTAGTACTGCAGTTCGTACTTTGGATTTACTAAGTAATAATTTTCATTATAACTTAATAACTCATTATTTTGACTTAGTAATTAATTATATCTCACGATCTCATAACTATGACTTAATACCTGATACTAATTTATTTTAGTTTTTATCATGTCTAACTTTTCATCGTTTTTTTCCTCCTCTCGGCAGAAGTAAACTTCTGGATGTAACTGGCACAAACTATAAAGTCCCATTGAGCAATTAAGCGCAAAGATGAAGTTGGGGTTTTGTTTGAGTCTTTTGTTTGAGTCCTTGAAATGAGTTTGGAGAATCACAAATGAACCAGAAATCTGACAAATCATCAGCCCACCACTGATGAAAACATGGTTGTTCAGTGCTAACTCATTCATTCATGACATGTCGGCATTTTCTTCCTTTGACTCCTTTAGCCTCCGTTGGAGCTGCGTTACCCCAAATACAGAGGAGCAATGAAACTCTCCTACATCAATGACGATCCTGTTTGCCTGTTCAACTACAAACATGCAGTCAACATGGATGCAAAGCAGCCTCATATTAAGTAAGGTTTAAAGCAGATCACTATGTGTACATAGCTTTGTTGTTGTAATTACAACATAGAGAAATAAAGAAATAATTCTTTATTTGTTTAGGATTCCCCAGTCAGAGGTGTCTGATTACTACGATGGGACAGGTTACCGCCTGGCGTTCATTAAGGAGCCGGACAAGAGAACGAGAAGATTGTTCAGATTTCACACAAACAGCAGAGAGACCGACGCCTTGTTATTCTACATTGGAAATGAAGTATGAGGTTTCTAGTTGAATTGAACAGATTTGCAGAAGCACCAGTCAAATACTCGGTCTACAAACAGATGTATGATTGATGTGGTCTCTCTGCTACAGGAGTCTTTCTTCTGGCTGTATGTGAAGAGAGGTTTCCTGGTGCTTCAGGGACAACAAAACGGTCGAGAGCGGCGAGCTCAGACTGCTGAAAAAGTGTCTCTCATCGTAAGATGATCTAAGATTAGTTACTTTCCATAGTGAACATTACGCAGTGCGAGCTGTCTGAATGCGTGTTCGTCTACTAAAAGTATGTTTCCTGTCTCAGGACAAACCCTTTGCGATCACGACCGCAGACAAGTTTATTGTGCAGTACGGACCGCAGCAAATCTCCACAGATCACATTCCTACAAACTACAGGAGTTATTACGTGGGGGGTCTCCCAGCACGGCTCAGGCAGAGGTAACAAAACAAATCCGGCCCATACTACTCCATACAGGAGATGTTAATGCTTTGCATGAAATGTATTTCCAGTGTTGTTACTATGACCCACCAAAGACAAAAGTTTGTGTTAATTTGTTGTTAAAATTAAAATCATTTCAGTTGATTTGCCTATTTTACCTGAACGTTGTGAACAGGTGAGAG